TAAAGTCTTTCCTGATAGACACACTTTCCTACACGACACAGCATAAATGTGGAAAAGAACCGTAGGACAAGCCCCATGAACTACACATAAAACACTTAAATTCCAAAAGATTACAAATTAACTGCTGAATTAAGAAAGACTATGTAAGGTCTGAAAGAGGAATTCAATGAAGATGCAGAAATCTTTTTTTTTTTTTTTTTTTTTTTGGCTGTGGGGCCTGAACTCGACCTGGGCGCTGTCCCTCAGCTCTTCAGCTCAAGGCTAGCGCTCTACCACTTGAGCCCGCAGTGCCACTTCCAGCTTTTTCTGCTTATGTGGTGCTGAGGAATCAAATCCAGGGCCTCATGCATGCAAGAGCAAGCACTCTACCACTGAGCCACCTTCCCAGCCCAAGATGCAGAAATCTTGAAAAAACAAGTTGACATCCTGTAACTGGAAAAAAATCAAATGAAAATCCTTAGGTGAAAGCTGAGGGCAAAGTAGATGTGTTGGAACATCCTGCTGATGAAGACAAAGAATTAAAATGGTTCTAGTGGAACACGCAAGACCTCTCAACACCACTGAAAAACCAAACCTATAAATTATAAGCATAGAGGAGAGAAGAGATGGCAAAGTAAAGACATAGACAATATATGCAATAAGGGCTGGGAAGGTGGCTCAGTGGTAGAGCGCTTGCCTTGCATGCATGAGGACCTGGGTTCGAATCCTCAGCACCACATTAGCAGAAAAAATAAAAAAGCCAGAAGTGGCGCTGTGGCTCAAGTAGTAGAGCGCTAGCCTTGAGCTGAAGAGCTGAGGGACAGCGCCCAGGCCCAGAGTTCAGGCCCCACGACCAGACCCCCCCCCCCAAAAAAAAAAAGAAAATATATGGAATAAAATTACTGGCAAAAATTTACCAGATAGTCATCCAGGTCTGTTGGATACCCAACAGGCAAGAACAAGAAAGAATCTCTCCAAGGCATATTATAGATAAAACATTAAAGTATGCAGACAAAGAATATGGACAGCTTCAAGAGAGAAGTGCGAAGCCACATAAAGGTCAGCCGGTCAGAACAAGTACTTCAACAGGAACTTCTTTCCTTTTGGTGTTATTTGGGCTTGAACTCAGAGCTTTATGCTTGCAAGGCAGTCACTCTACAACTTGAGCTATACCTGAAATCCTCTCATGTTTAAAAGCAAGAAGGGAGTGGAATAATGTTTTTCAAACCTAAAAGAAAGTAACTGCCAACCTAGATTACTGCAGATAGCAAAGCTATCTTTTGTAACTGAAGGAGGGATAAAGTCCTGCACAAAATGCAGGACTACTAAGCCAGTCCTGCAGAAGAGACTAAAATCCTACACAGAGAAGAGGAAAGATAAACACAATCAGGAAAATGCAGAAAATATTAAATCTCACTAGACAAGTAGGTAAGTAAATAAAGATCAGGAAAGCATCTAACATTAAAACAACAACAAAATAGCATACCATTAAATAATTCTGAATGAGAGTAGTGTCAGTTCTACAATCAGAGAACATAGACTGGCAGCCTGGATTTAAAACAAAAAAAGACCCAACAGCTTGTTATCGATAAGAAACACAATGGGAGCTGGGAAGGTGACTCAGTGGTAGAGTGCTTGCTCTTGCATGCATGAGGCCCTGGGTTGGATTCTTCACATAAGCAGAAAAAGCCGGAAGTGGAGCTGTGGCTCAAGTGGTAGAACACTAGCCTTGAGCTGAAGAACTAAGGAACAGCACCCGGGCACAGAGTTCAAGCCCCACTACTGACAAAAAAAGAAAAATGGCACAAAGAGGCTTAAAATGAAACTATGGAAGCCAAGTTTTGGTGGCTCTTACCTGTAATCCTGGCTATTCAGAAGGTTGATCTGAGGATCACAGTTCAAAGCCAGCCCAGGCAGGAAAGTTTGTAAGACTCTTATCTCCAATTAACCAGCAAAAAGTTGCAAGTGGAGCTGTGGCTCAAGTGTTAGAGTGCTAGCCTTGAGAAAAAAGAAAGCTCAGAGACAGTGCCTAGGCCCTGAGTTCAAGCCCCAGTACACATACACACACACACACACACACACACACATTCCACAGATATTCCAAGCAAATGGGCTTGAAAGCAAGCAGGATTAACTGTACTCATATCTGCCAAAGCAGACCACAAATCAAATTAGAAGAGACGGTCACTTCACATTGATAAAGGGAGGGGAGACCATAGCTATTTAGGAGGCTGAGATTGGGAGGCTCACAGTTCAAGGCTAGTCCAGGAAAAAGTTTGTGAAGACCCCTCCCCACCCCAGTCTCAACCAATAGAAATGCTGGTTGCAGTCATGTGTCCCTGTTACCCCAGCTACATTGGAAGAATAAAAAGGAGGACTGGATTCCAGGCCAGCCTGGTCACAAAGCAAGACCCTATTTGAAGAATAATGGAAACTAGACACCAGTGGCTCACGCCTGTAATCCTAGCTTCTCAGAAGGCTGAGATCTGAGGACCACAGTTTGAAGCAGCCCAGGCAGGAAAGTCCGTGAGACTCATCTCCAATGAACCACCAGAAAACTGAAAGTGGCGCTGTGAACTGGCAGAGCGCTGACCTTTAGCACAAAGATGCTCAGGGACAGTGCCCAGGCCCAGAGTTCAAGCCCCATTACTGAGAGAGAGAAAAATACCAATAACCAAACCAAAAAACAAAAACAAAAAGGTGTTTTGTTTTGTTGTCAGTCATGGGGCTTCAACTCGGCCTGAACGCAGCCCCTCAGCTCTTTAGCTCAAGGCTAGCGCTCTACCACTTGAGCCACTGTGCCACTTCCATATTTCTAGTGGTTTATTGGAGATAAGAGTTTCACAGATGTTCCTGCCCAGGCTGGCTTTGAACCATGATCCTCAGATCTCAGCCTCCACCTGCACGCTAGGCAAGCACTCTACCACTAAGCCATATTCCCAGCCCCTAATATTGGGGTCTGAATACAGGACCTTGAACTTGGTAGACAGGCGCTCTACAGTTTGAGCTTTACCCCTTTTTACTTTAGTTATTTCTTGGTCAGGATCACCTGTTTTTGCCCAGGGATGGGCTCAGTCTGTGGGTCCTCCTCCTTGTCCCCCCATACCACATGACCACAGAGTGTGCCACTACACCAAGTTTACTGGTTGAGAAAGGGGTGTCACTTTTTACTTTGGGTGGGCCTCAAACCTCGATCCTCCTGATCTTTGTTTCCTAAGTAACTGGGATCACAGGTGTGTCCCACTGTACCTGGTCTCTGCCTTTCTTGTCCATTTTCTCAATTTCTTCATCCAGCTAATTTCCTTAACCACCTGAGAGAAATGACAAAGATAGATGAATTAACATCCATGCTTCCCCTCCATCAAGTAAATGCTGGCCACACTCAACGGCACTTTTTCAATTCCCCTCAGGAATTTCCATGGCAGAGAGTAGATCAGATAATTCTCTGCCTTAATCTGATGTAACTTAAGATTTCAGGCCCCCAAAATCACTGGGGCCTTAGGACTGCCATTCCCAGCAGGAAGGGCATGACTAGGCCTCATGAACTGCAAGGTGCTCTGGGTAAGGCTAAAACTGGTCTCCAAAGGAGTATGAGAGTACATATGGAGCTCTACTTCCACTCAATATAAGCCACGTCACACGGTGGCAGCTCTGTGAGAAAGCAATTCCTTACTCTGGAGGGTAGCGGCTTGCCCTACCTTGGAAAAGCTGGATTTGAGGCCACATGCCCAGAGACCACTATTTATTATTATTATTATTATGTACCAGTCCTAGGGCTTGAACTCGAGTCTAGGCACTGTCCTTCAGCTTTTTCACTCAAGGCTGGTGCTCTACCACTTGAGCCACAGCTCCAGCTTTTTGCTAGTTAATTGGGGATAAGAGTCTCACAGACCTTTCCTGCTGGAGCTGGCTTTTTGAACCACAATCCTCCGATCTCAGCCTCCTGAGCAGCTAGGATTACAGGTGTGAGTCACCAGCCCTGGGCCCTCGGAGACCTGGTCCTCTCTTTCCCTTTGCATTTCCCCCATTGCTGTGTCTAGCTGCTGCCTGTCCACCTGACCTAGGTCTCCGCCCGGGGAAGCAGCTGGCTGAGCAGAGGCAGCCCCGTCATCACACTTGGCACAAAATCCCATTCTCTCCCACTGCAGTCCAACCACCGCAGGTCAGTTTCCAGTGGCTCCACACCCAGCCCCACGCCCTCCCTGGTAACCCCTTCCTTCTGGCAATGTTATTCTCAGGCTGGGACTCACCCCAGGGCACTGGTTGATCCCAGCTTCAGATCTGCTGACGTCTAGGCTGACTCAGAGCTTTTATTTTTTTTGCCTCCAGGAGCACACCGTTTTATCTGGGTGTGGAGGTTTACACCCGCAATCCTACTTTGCTAGGGAAGGATCCAGGACCCAGGGCACAAGATACCTCCACGTCAATTCCCAGGAAATGGGGATCCTGTCACCCCGGCTTTGCCGAGACATAAACAGAAGTATTTATTAGTCTAGGCAAGAACTCAAGTCCCCACTGTAAAGATAAGAAGAGGAAAAAAAGAAAAGCAGGAAGGTGTGGCTCAAGCAGTGGAGTGCCTGCCTGGCCAGGGTGAGGTCCGGGGTTCAGAGCGAGCGGGGTACTCAGCAGATTCCCCCAGGGCTTGCGGGCCAGGATGGAAAGGGAAAGCGAGCCCTGGACCCCGCGCAGCTCGGGTGGGCGCTGCCCTGCTCGGCCCGACCGCCCGCCCTGCCCGGCTCTGCCTCCGCTCCGCCCGGCGCCCTCTGGGCGGACGTGGCCGTGGAACCAGACTGCCGGCGGGGGGGTGGGGGTGCTGGGGGTCCCGTGGGTGAGGGGGAGCGCGCTCCCACCTAGTCTCCCCCTCGCCGCCCCGCGGGCCGCGAATCTGGGAGGCTCAGAAAGACTGGGCGGCCTGTCCAGGACTTGCGCGCTCCTGCGCGTGCGCGTGCGGCGCCCGGGGCGGGGCTTGAGCCCCAGCGCGGCCGCGGGCGTGGCGGTGGGCGTGGCCTCTCGGCGCGCGCGGCGCCGCCCCTTCGGTCTCCTAGGTCTCGGGGAGGCGGCAACCGCTCCGAGTCGGCTCTTCCCGGTTGGCGGGGCCCGCGGAACCGCGGTCGTCTGGTGACCATGGGGGACCCCAGCAAGCAGGACATCCTGGCCATCTTCAAGCGCCTCCGCTCGGTGCCTACCAACAAGGTAGGGACCTCCAGGGGTGTGTCGGGCCTGCGGGGCCCGGCCGAGCCCCGGGGCGGCCCCTGTGGGCGCCCGCGGCCGGGCCGGGAGGAGGAGCCGCCCGCCAGTGACACGTCGCACTGAGGACCGCGGCGGCCGGGCCTCGGCGGGGGCCGGCCTCGGCGAGCCCCACCTCGGCGGGGGTCCGCCGCCGCCGCCCCCCGGCCTGCGCCTCGGCGGGGGGCGGGGCGCACTCCGGGGCGCCCGGCGGGGGCGGGCGGGGGGGGTCCCGGCAGCGCGACGTCGCCCCCCCCCCCCGCGGGCTCCGAGGGAAGGCCGGGGGTCCTGGGGCCCTGGGCCCCGCCACCGGGGATGGGGGCGGGAAGCCGGCACCCGGGGGTCCCTGGCACCGGCGGGGAGCAGACCCGGGGCGGGGGGGGGGCTCGGGCCCCGCCCCGCTGAGCCAGTGGGGGGCGGACGTCCACAGGGGGTCCCCGCGGCCCCCGGGGCCGCAGACGCCGGTCCGCCGCGCCAGCTGGCAGCGCGGGGCGCCGGGGAAGCGGACCCGCCGCTCCGCGTCGTCGGGGCGGGGGAGCCACCTGTTGGAGCCCCGGGGTGGTTCCTTCCCTCTGCCCCTGTGGCAGCCTCAGCCCCCCCCCCCCATCGGTTACTCACCCGCCCCGAACTTTTACAACTCGGTGTGGTGATGATGCTGAGGGGCCACGTGGCGTGGAACCCGCGGGTGCAAAGGGCTGTCGTGTCAGCGTGGACTGTCCCGGTCCGCGCCGGCCCCGGCCAGCTCCCCCCTGCCACGGGGGGGGGGGGGGGACGTCCGCCAGGAGCGGGGAGGGGGAACCCCGGGAGGGGGGACGTCCGCCAGGAGCGGGGAGGGGGACCCCGGGAGGGGGGACGTCCGCCAGGAGCGGGGAGGGGACCCCGGGAGGGGGGACGTCCGCCAGGCGTGGGGAGGGGACCCCGGGAGGGGGGACATCCGCCAAGAGCGAGGAGGGGCTCCAGCTCACCCTGGAGCGCACAGGGTGATTTCCTGGGCCTCAGAAAGTTACAGGGTCATGACTACAGAAATTCTTCAGTGGCCATCCTTGGCCATTTCTTCATTTTGAAGTTCATATCGATCCGTTTATAGGACTTGGTGTAATTGGACCTACAGTTAGCAGGTGAAACTTTATCTCAGATCAACATATGTTTTGTTTGATTAAGCTCATCAATGGATCTGAGTGTGTTCTGTCTGGTACTGGGGCTTGAATTCAGGGCCTGGGTCCTGCCCCTTAGTTTTTTTTCCCTTCAAGCTCTTTTGAGCCACAGCTCCATTTTTTCTTTCTTTCTTTCTTTCTTTCTTTCTTTCTTTCTTTCTTTCTTTCTTTCTTTCTTTCTTTCTTTCTTTCTTTCTTTCTGTCTTTATTTGGAGATAAAAATCTCTTAGACTTTACAGCCAGAGCTGGCTTTGAACTGTGATCCTCAGCTTCCAGCCTCCTGAGTGGCTGGGATTACAGTGTGAACCATCATCACCTGGCTTAGGTGTCCCTTTTAAATAAATCAGTGTCATTATACCAAGAGACACTTTGGAGGTATATAGGTGGGCCTTAAAAAAACAAACACGTGCCAGGAGCTGGTGGCTCACGCCTGTAATCCTAGCTACTCAGGAGGCTGAGATCTGAGGATCGTGGTTCAAAGCCAGCCCGGGCAGGAGAGACCGTGAAACTCCTATCTCCAATAAACCACCAGAAAACCAGAAGTGGCGCTGTAGCTCAAGTGGTAGAGCGCTCGCCTTGAGCTGAAGAGCTGAGGGACAGCGCCCAGGCCCAGAGTTCAAGCTCCACGGCCGACCCAAAAAAAAAAAAAAAACAAACACGTAAAGTTATTACTTCCAACTCTGCTATTTTCTAGCTGTGTCACTCTGAAGAGATTAGTTCTGCCTAATTTAATCATGTGAAATTGGGAGTGTGAACCAGATTTAACTCAAAGAACTATTGTGAGAATCAAGAGAGATGGCCCAAGAAGAGCTTCTTTCACAAGTGTCAGATATTGTTTTCATTATGAAGAATGGTGCTGTGGGTGTTTCATAATCTGCAGTATGATTTTAAATCAATATTCAAAAAATGTTTCCTGATAATATTTCCCAGGAATTTCCTCTACTTCTTGATCATTGGTTTGAAACCATTTGATCAGAGGCTGGAAACCAATCTCTGGACAAACACGGAAAGGAGTTTAATGGTCTGTATACTTGGGCAACAAGCACTTAAATTTTTTTTTACATTTTAAATAATGGGTTGTAAGAAAAGACACTAAGTTACTTAAGTCAAGAAAAGTGGTTAAAGAAAAATAACCTGATGGCTCATGCCTGTAATCCTAGCTACTCAGGAGGCTGAGATTTGAGGATCACAGTTTGAAGCCAGCCGGAGCAAAAAAATCCATGACACTTTTCAGTTAATCACAGAAAAAGCCAGAAGTGGTGCTGTGACTCAAGTGGTAGAGCGCTAGCCTTGAGCAAAAGGAGCCCAGGGATAGCACCCAGGCCCAGAGTTCAAGCCCCAGGATCGACCAAAAACAAAAAAGCCAGAAGTAGAGTTGTGTCTCAAGCAGTAGAGTGCTAGCCTGGAGTGGAAAAAGCTAAGAGTGTCCTAGGGTGTACACACACACACACACACACACACACACACACACACACACACACACACACACACACACAGTACAACCTGCGACAAGGTTCACAGGGTCAGGTTTCTGGTTTGTGAACTCCTTGTTTGCTATAGGATGTCTACTTTGTTCCAAATCTACAATGTGCTAACCTAGTGCAAAGCACAGGGTGTGTGTGCTGACGGACAGGACGTGTGTTTACAGGGGTGTAGATGCCCACCTTCGATGAGCCTCTAGCACAGGGCGGGCGGGCTGTGTGCCAGTGCTTTCTGCTGTGGGATGCACAGTGGTGGTGAGGTGGCGAATAGGTGCTGGGAGCGGCCGGCTCCCACGTCACCCTCCACAGACGCAATGCTTAACGCACACAGTGGTCTCTCCAGAATGCCATGGAGACCAGCGCATGCTTTGTGAACTGTAGAAATGGAAACGCTAGCAAGAATTTCAAGATGAAACAGGAAAGTGTTACCCACATCACAGGCCCACTGAGGAGAGCAGACAAGGCCACAGAGGGGCCACACGTGGCCTGGCGAGGGGCCAGTGGTCCCTCTGCAGAGGACACTCAACACCGGCCCCTGGGAGCTCTGTCACCTGCCTCAGCATTATGTCACATTCACAGTTGAAAGTTGTTTTAGTTGTCATCTTTCCGAGAACTAATATTCTGCTTAGAAGACCTGGGCTTTGGCCTGGGATTGCAAGATGTCAGATATGCAGTCAGCACAAGCCCCCCACTTTCAAAGGGCAGGCTCTGCCCCCACAGGTGCAGCAAGGCAGCATGGCGAGGAACAGATCTGGTTCTAATGCCTTCCATGCTCCTCAGTCCCATCCTACACACCGTGCTGTCCAGTGTTAACCCATCCTGCAAGCCCAGCCTCCATCCTCACCTTCCCCTGTCCCTGTGTATCTCAGTTTCCATCCTCCTGTTCACTCATCCCTGCAAGCCTAGCGTCTGCACCCATGATGGACAGGACACAGCTGCTCTGCAGCTATGTTCCAGCAATTTCTTGGCTCTGTTGGTCAGAGCCTTGTGTAGTTAGCCAAGTGTTCTCCACTTACCTATACACCACCTGTTTTTTGTTTGTTTGTTTGTTTTGTTTTTGTCAGTCCTGGGGCTTGAACTCAGGGCCTGGGTGCTATCCCTGAGCTGCTTTTGCCCAAGCATTCTACTACTTGAGCCACAGCACCATTTCTGGCTTTTTCTGTGTATGTGGTACTGAGGAGTTGAACCCAGGGCTTCATGAATGCTCGGCAAACACTCTACCACAAAACACCACCTTCCCAGCCCTGTTTTTTGTTTGTTCTTTTTGTTTATGTACTGGGACTTGGAACTTAGGGCCCCACACTCTCAGCTTTTCCATTTGAGGCTAGTTCTCTACCACCTGAGCCATACCCTACTTCTAGCTTCTTACCTGTTAATTGGAAGAGTCTTGTGGATTTATCTGTCCAGCCTGGCTTTGAATGTGATCCTCAGATCTCAGCTTCCTAAGTAGCTAGGATTACAGGTGTGAACCACTGGCACCTGGCCCCAAATGCCTTTTAATCCTATCTTGAAAACATTTTGCTACACAAAACTACACTGAACTCCAATTGCATGAATAGTTGTACTCACTCCTCAAGACCAGCGTGTGGCCCGCAGAGACCAGCGCTCCAATGCCAGCCTTCCTTGGTGCCTCAGCAACTGTCATGGGGTCTGAGATGGTCTGCCCCTTGTCACTCCAGCCCTACCATTCATAATGAGCGGTGTGAGTCTGCCCCTTGTCACTCCAGCCCCACTGATCATAACGAGTGGTGTGAGTCTATCCATTGTCACTCCAGCCCCACTGATCATAACGAGCGGTGTGAGTCTGCCCTGTCATTCCAGCCCCACTGATCATAACGAGCGGTGTGAGTCTGTCCATTGTCACTCCAGCCCCACTGATCATAATGAGTGGTGTGAGTCTGCCCTGTCACTTCAGCCCCACTGATCATAACGAGTGGTGTGAGTCTGCTCTGTCCTTCCAGCCCCACTGATCATAACGAGCAGTGTGAGTCTGCCCCTTAACACTGCAGCCCCACTGATCATAACGAGTGGTGTGAGTCTGCCCTGTCATTCCAGCCCCACTGATCATAACGAGCGGTGTGAGTCTGTCCATTGTCACTCCAGCCCCACTGATCATAACGGGCGGTGTGAGTCTGCCCTGTCATTCCAGCCCCACTGATCATAACGGGCGGTGTGAGTCTGCCCTGTCACTCCAGCTCTACTGATCATAATGAGTGGTGTGAGTCTGCCCCTTGTCACTCCAGCCCCACTGATCATAACGAGTGGTGTGAGTCTGTCCAGATTTTAGAAACATGGCTAATGCCTTGAAAAGTGCCAGGCACAGGGATCACAGAATCGTAGCAACTTGGGAGGATCACAGTTCAAGGCCAGTCCAGACAAAGTTTACCAAGTCCCATCTCAACAGAAAAAACTGAGTGCAGTAGGGTATACCTGTCATCCCAGCTGTGGGGGAAGTACGAATAGGAGGATCACAGACCTGGTAATCTGGGCAAAAAGTGAGACTCTATTTGAAAACTAACAAGTGCAAAAAGGACTTGGTGTGTGGCTCAAGCAGTACAGTGCTCAAGGAAACATAGCTCTTAAGCTCAAATCCCACTACTGGGCTGGGAAGGCTCAGTGGTAGAGTGCTTGCCTTGCATGCATGAAGCCCTGGGTTTGATTCCTCAGCATCACATAAGCAGAAAAAGCTGGAAGTGGTGCTGTGGCTCAAGTGGTAGAGCCTTGAGCTGAAGAGCTGAGGGACAGCGCCCAGCCTAGAGTTCAAGCCCCATGACTGACCAAAAAAAAAAAAAAAAAGTCCCACTACTGCCAAAAAAAATTATGTCTAAAGGTGGAAAAAATTAAAGACAATTTTCTATTTGTGGAAATTTACAAATTGTTTGACTTTAATTACCTATAAGTAATAAATCCTTGACAAGTAACTATTTATATATTTCTTTGATATCGGCATTGGACATTTGACTCGCTGTCTGGTGGGAGTATAGATGATTGTTGAGGACACGAGTGTTTCATGCTGTTTACTGGGAGTTTATAAAGAGTAAACACTATTCTCAGGATCAGCGAGAGATAAAGAATGAAAGCCATATCCACCCAATCCAGCAGACACGGACTGACTATGTTCTCACTGGGTCTGTGCTGGCTCCATTCTAGTAGAAAAAGAAAAAGGCAACAGGAAGACACCCCCATCCCAGGCGCTCTCAGGGACCACAGCCGGCAGAGGGCTCTTTCCTTGCTATGAGCTGGGTAAGCATTCTCTAAGTGACAGATAAAGGTGACAGGACAGCAGTGCATGGCTTTTCCTTGTACCACTACCTACTGCTGCGTACCAAAGTACCTCACACGTGGGTCTCAGAGCAATGATCAGAACAGAACGTCCCTTCCTATGCAGGGGCGGAGTCAGGAGGGGCTGGTCCTGCCCCGGTGTATCCTGAGTGAGAAGCATAGTACAGTGCAAATCTAACCATATCAATAACAATTAGTGTATTTAGACAGTGTGTATTATTATCATCCTAAAACAAACTGAGACTTGAGAGTTTTAAAAAAATCTAGATAAGAGGTTTTCCAACAACCAAAGTTGCTGATGTACATGCATTGTAGCTTCCAAGCTAGTTGTGTGTACAGCCTATCTAATGACTCATCCACTAATATAAAATAATGACCAAGACCAGACGTGGGTGGCTCACACTTGTAATCCTAGCTACCAAGGAAGCTGAGATCTGAGGAGCATGGTTCAAAGCCTGCCCAGGCAGGAAAGTCCATAAGATACTTATCTCCAGTAAACCACAGAAAACTGGAAATGGTGCTGTGGCTCAAGTGGTAGAGCACTTGCTGAAGAGCTCAGGGACAGTGCCCATGACAGACAAAAATAAATAAATATTTTAAAAAATAAAATAATGACCAACTGATTCTCACATTTTTCTTACAGGTGTGCTTTGATTGTGGTGCCAAAAACCCCAGCTGGGCCAGTATAACCTACGGCGTGTTTCTGTGCATTGACTGCTCAGGGTCGCACCGGTCCCTTGGTGTGCACTTGAGTTTTATTCGGTAGGTGACTTCCCTTTGGGGGCGGGGACTGGGGAGCACGAGTGGGCAGGATTTCCTCTGGCTCATCATTGCCCTTTGCTTGCACTGTTCGATTTGACATGAAGGGAATATCAGGGCAGCTCACATCTAACCTCCTCAGGGAAATGAGCCATTTCTTTGGGTTCTGAGTGTAGAGATCTCACGAGACAAGAGTGCTGTGAAGGCAGGAGGCATGGAGGGTTTGAGCTGCATCCCTTCCCCATCTGGTCTTCTAAGGCCAAAAGTATATGCAGGTCAGGTGGACAGGGAGGCACAGATGAGGCCTGGCCTGTGCCTGGCAGGAGTCCTTGTGTGGGTGTCAGCCCTCCAGCTCCCAAGGGCACTCCGAGGGCCACGCCTGAGTGAGTGTATCCCCTGGGACTGCAGGTGGCCCTTTCCACGTTGGTGACGTGGAAACTTATGTGAGGACTTGGCTCTCTGGTGGGTGAATTGTCTGGCATTAGTGATACAGTGGCCTCCGCCTGTAAGGGGCCATGGTGAGCATTGCAGAAAGACACTCAACTGAAAGATGCCTCCCAGTGGGGGGTGGAAGTGCGTCTGTGAGGGAACTCAGTGGAAATAGAAGGAACCAAAGGATCGCAATCCAGCTCAGGGCTCAGAAGCCCAGCGAGGCCAGCCCAGCTGCTTTGACCCTCGCCAGGGCCCCTTCCACATCCGTGGAGCGGCCGGCTCAGACCTCAGGTGTGGCCACCACGCCTCTGCCCATCTATTTCTTGTCACCATTTTTCCCCCAGGTAAGGAACCAGTTAGGCAGGCTATTAGAAATTGTGGCAGGCAATTGCATTTCACATGTTATGACTGGGGAAATATTGACATAATGGGATTACCATCAAAGAGCATTTGTGTCTAGATGATATAAATCAATTATGAGACATTTGTATTAGTGTGTGAAAACTATATAATAATGATAATTGCAGCATAGTTTTATATTTTGATAATTTAAAGATGTTTTAGATATCCATTTGTAAAGATAAATATGTACACTAAGCCTTTATAACCATGTAATTCTGTGGGTAATTAAGAAAAGAGGAGCTGGGAAGGTGGATTAGTGGTAGAGCGCTTGCCTTGCATGCATGAGGCCCTGGGTTTGATTCCTCAACGCCACATAAGCAAAAAGAAAAAAGCTGGAAGTGGTGCTGTGGCTCAAGTGGTAGAGCACTAGCCTTGAGCTGAAGAGCTGAGGGACAGCGCCCAGGCCCAGAGTTCAGGCCCCACGACCGGACCCAAAAAAAAGAAAAAAAGAAAAAGAAAAGAGGAGGTGGGGGGCTGGCAAGGTGGCTCAGTGGTAGAGTGCTTGCCTTGCATGCATGAGGTCCTGGGTTCGATTCCTCAGCACCACATAAGCAGAAAAAAGCCGGAAGTGGCACTGTGGCTCAAGTGGTATAGCACTTGGCCTTGAGCTGAATTGCTGAGGGACAGCACCCAGGCCCAGAGTTCAAGCCCCACAACCAACAAAAAACAAAAAAGAAAAGAGGAGGTGGGTACAGTGGCTTACACCTGCAATCCTGCGTACTTGGGAGGTGGAGATCAGGAAGACTGGGTTCCAGACTAGTGAGGCTGACGTGTTAGTGAGACCCTCCCTCTCAATAAGCCAGGCCCATTAGTGTGTGCCTGTCACCCCAGCTGTGGGGGAGCTTGTTGGTATTGAGCATCATGGTCTGAGGCTAGCCCTGGGCAAAAATTGGAGACCCTACATGAAAAATAACATAGCTTAAAAAAAGGTTGTGGCTCACGTGGTAGAGCACCTGTCTAGCAAGTGTATGGCCAACAAACCCCAGCTCAGCCAAAAAGAAAGAAAAAAATGTACTTTTCCTAGCTTCAGAGCATCTGTCATTTTCTCCTGTTTGTCCTTGTCTCAGCCCTTGGTCCCAGAATGTTTTCATTATAATTCCCTCCCCTGTCTCTTTAAATGTGAAGGGATTGAGTTGCCAGGGCAATTGCATTTATTTATTTATCCCATTTTTTTCTGTTATGGTAAAACACACATACAGTTACCATCCTAGCCTTGTTAAATACACAGTCCAGTGTTAAGAAATACATTCGTGCTACCTTCCGTCTCCACAATTCTTTGTCTTATAAAATTCTGACCACTGCTCTGCATTCTCTTTGATTTCCCTACTGTATGTGGGTCATTTGCATGCTGATGTGACATATCTGTCACTTGCCACTGGTTTACTTCACTTAGCATTCTTTCCTCAAGGTTTTCCCTTTGTGCCATGGGTCAGAAGTTCATTCTAGGCTGAGTACTATTCCATTATAGGATTCCACGCTGTCCAAGCCTCCAAACGCACTGGCTCCTGTGCACATTTGAGCTGTTGTGCATAGCTGTGTGCACTTTCTACATGGGTTACAGATGTCTCTTTGAGAATGCTTCCAAACTCCTTTGGGCCAGTACTCAGAAGTACCATTGCTAGACCAGATGGCAGTTATATTGTTAATTATGTTTGTGTTCATGCCTGTACTGGGGCTTGAGCTCAGGAGCTTAGGCCCTACGTGCTGTCCTTTAGCTTTATCAGTTAGGTGGTTAACTGCAGATAAAGAGTCTCACAGACTGTTCTGCCCAGACTGGCTTTGAACTGGGATTCTTACCTCTCAGCCTTCTGAGTCCTAGGATTACAGGTATGAGCCACTGGCACCTGGCTCAGATTTTGTGTTGTTGTGGACTTTTCCCTCCAGACAGGTGATCCGCTGTTATCATCTGGACCATACCCCACCCAGAGCAGACGATCGCTGGACTTGAGGCAGTGCAGAGCTACACTGTACTCTTTCCCACTTTCCCACTGCTGAGCCCTTCCTTTATAACATGGCCTTGTGTGGTACATGCAGGAAGTTCAGTCATCTGGGGAGTCTCTCGCTCAGGGAAGGACTGGCCTGGAGCCTGAGAAGGCTGCACAGCAGGACCTGTTCAGACCTGCGCAGGGTTAACCGCTAACCTCTTAAAAGTCAGACAAATACAACTATGAATCACATGCTTATAAATGATTCAAAAACAGCAATTAAGAATATCTGTGTAACCAGAGGGCAGCAATCTAGAATGTGGGCAAGAAAACAGTTCAGGGTGTAAGGTATTCAGTGTGAGCTTTCATTTGAGAAGGAGTGGAACTAATGGTGAATTTTTTTTTCTAGTACTGGGCCTTGAACTCTGGACCTCACACTCTCCCTTAGCTTTCTTGCTTAGTGCTCTGCCACTTGAGCCACGTTTAGGCTTTTAAAAAAATTGATTTAAAAAAGTTACATGCAGGTTACTGGTAGCTTATATCTGCAATCCTAGCTATTCAGGAGGCTGAGATCTGAGGATCATGGTTCAAAGCCAGCCTGGGCAGGAAAATCTATGAGACACTTATCTCCAATAAACCACCAGAAAACCAGAAGTGGTGCTGTGGCTCAAGTGATAGAGCACTGGCTGCCCAGGCCCAGGGTTCAAGCCTTATGACTGACAAAAAAAAAAAATTACAAAATGAGCTGGGTATAGAGGTACAAGCCTGTAAATCCCTGCACAGGGAGGACCATTAGTTCAAGATCAGCCTGGGCCACACAGTGAGATCCTGTTCAAAAAAGAAAAAAGGGAAAGAAGGACCTTACAAAGTACAGCACACGAGCTGTACACACGAGCCCCAGTCATGTCCTTCAGGGATCAGCGTGGCACGGCACAGCCAGCCTGCCAGGGCCTGCCCAGGACAGCACAGAGGACAGCAGCCCATTGGGGCTGGAACGCCTTGGCTCCCAGGAAGGACAGGAGGGCCAGGGACTGCTCACCCAGTGTCACCACCCAGGGGCCCCCCCTTCCTGTTAATACATCCTAAAGCCCAAAGAATGTTGTTTTCAAACTTCCTCAGTGGTCTGAGGCAGGGAAGAGAACATTCAGGAAATGTTCTCTCTGTCTAGATCTACCGAGCTGGATTCTAACTGGTCTTGGTTCCAACTGCGCTGCATGCAAGTGGGCGGGAATGCCAATGCGGTAAGTCCTTTCAGACTCCTCCCCTTCCTCCTCCTCTTCCTCCCTCTCCCCCTTCTCTTCCCCCTTTCCTCCCCCTCCTGCTCTCCCTTAACCCCCTTCCCCTCTCTTCCTCCTCATCTCCCCCGTCCCCCATCGGCCCCATGTGCTTGGGGCCCATGGCTAGGGGCACAGCCTTGTCCTTAGAGCCACATCTGAGCAAATGGTAAGCGCTAAGTGCCAGGCAGGGTGCCGGGCATGGGGACCAGCAGACCCTCCGGGCAGGAGAGTCAGAGTGGCACTGCAGCGTTTCCAAGATCAGAGCAAAGTAGAGGATGTAGAAGAGCCTGAGTTTTCAATGGCAGGGTGACTTTGTGCTTGTAGCCAAAATGGATTTAAATTAATATTTAATTATGTCTACAAGGTTTTTGTTTTGTTTTGTTTTTGTTAGTCCTATGTCTGGAACTCAGGGCCTGGGCACTGTCCCTGAGCTGCTTTTGTTCAAGGCTAGCACTCCACCACTTGAGCCACAATACCAACTGTATATGGTATTGAAGAATCGAACCTAGGGCTTCATACAGGCTAGGCAAGCACTCTACCACTGAGCCACATTCCCAGCCCTTACAAAAGTACAGCAAATATTAAATATTAACTTAGAAGCTTACCATTTTTCCTATGAAAATCATTATTTAAATGTTTGACAAACTGAGAGTCCTGAGTGGATTCTATCAACATCAGGTCATTGTACGGGTTTCCAGAAGCCTGGGTTAAGACACGAGTTCTGAGACTCATGTCTGCAAACGTGCTTAGGAGAGGGGGCAAAGCAGTTTCTTCCAGATGTTAAGACATTGCCCTTTCTGCTTTCTGCTGTAAGATACAGGTATTAACTCTGCTCGTGAAGAAAAATCACCGAACAAGGTAAAGGTTAGCAGGGTCCCTGACCAACTTGTCAGAAATTCTGATTCTGTTAAATCCAAATTGAAATTGAAATTAATGGTCATGAATGGAAGGTAGTACTGCATAGGGAGTTCCCAAAGCCACTTCCAGAATGGCAGAGGTGGATTATGGGGGAGATGGGGACCACTGTCTCATTTTTAACACCCCTCCATTCTGTGAAATAGCATTTTCAGTCAGGGTGTGCGGCGTCCTGTGGTATTTATTGATATGCTGCGTATCCTCTCTAGTCTTCCTTTTTCCATCAACATGGCTGTACCACCAATGACACCAACGCGAAGTACAACAGCCGCAGTGCCCAGCTGTACCGGGAGAGAGTGAAGTCGCTGGCCTCACAGGCCACACGGAAGCATGGCACCGACGTGAGTCGCAGGGCCACCTGTCCCTTAGATGCCAACCTCTGGGTTCAGTCAGACGAGGGCTCCATGCTGAGCTGCAAGGCCATCTACCCAGCTCCCCTGGGAGCCAGTTTCAATGTGCAGTTGCTTCTCCATTCTGGGCTAGTCAGGCCAGTTTTCATTGCACCCTGATCAAGCCAATACTGAAGCTTCGCTCCTGGGAGCCAGGAGTGAGGCTCCTTCCAACCTCAGAACACATTCTCACAAATGGATCCATTCACAGCCTATTTGCCATGGGTTTCCATTCAAAGATACTCACTGAAGGCACCAGAGGGTCACTGGGTGCACGTGCAGGCTCTGGGTCCCACACCAACACTGCAAAAGAATAAGCAAGCAAACAAACTTTAAAAAAAAATCTTTTATCAGTCAAGGGATTGAACTCAGGGCCTGTGCAATGTCACTTAGCTTTTTTGCTCAAAGCTAGCACACTACCACTTTAAGCTAAATTTCCACTTCCAGTTTTCCAGTGTTTATTCTCTTAGCCTTTACTGCAGGTCTGGCTTTGAACCACAATCCTCAGATCTCAGCCTCCTGAGTAGCAAGGATTACAAGCACGAGCCACCAATACCCAGTAACAACTTTATTTGTGTATGTATATACATGATCGTGAACATTGAACTCCCCACAAGAGGTCAAAGCCAATGCCAACACAACTCCTTTTCAGTCAGGTACAGCACAGCTCCTCCTCAGGCAGGTGGCTCTCAGGAGCTAGGACAGGTTCCTGCAATGAAATCGCCAGCAAGCACCAGTATGTGGCCATCGTGGCACTGAGTGGACAGCGGAAAGGCCACCTGTTTGAATGCAGAGAACATAGAGAATGGAAGCATAGAGGCAAAGCAGCCTTTGCGTAGCTGGGAGGGAACCTGCTCCTCACAGGGCTCATTGTACTGCTTTCCTCATGTCTGAAAATGAACTTGAAAAGCCCACAGGTGCCAATTTGACATCACAAGCAAATGCAGCAAGTAGGCAAATCCATTGGGTAGAAGGCAGAGACCCTGAGGGCTGCCTGTGGTTTGGGACCTGTACTTAGGTAGGGAAGGGTCTCTGTCCCTGGGGGCAGACCTTGCTAGAGGCGCCTCGGGCACCCTGCTGGTGGTGGTGCGATGGGAAGTGGCAGTCTTCAGGGCAGTTTCTAGGGGGCACAGAGAGCCCTCGCCCTGGCAGACAGAGGTGTGCTAAGTGCTAACTCTCGCTTGGCTTCTGTTCCAGCTGTGGCTTGATAGCTGCATGGTCCCACCTTCATCCCCTCCACCAAAGGAGGAAGACTTCTTCGCGGCACACGCGACTCCTGAGGTATGTGTGCTTATTCTGAACGTTACTTTTTTTTTTTTTTTTTTGGGTCCGGTCATGGGGCCTGGACTCTGGGCCTGGGCGCTGTCCCTCAGCTCTTCAGCTCAAGGCTAGCGCTCTACCACTGAGTCACCTTCCCAGCCCCCTCTGAACATTACTAAGAGTGTACCTTTAAAGCAAGTGTTCACGCCCATAATCCCAGCTACTCAGGAAGCTGAGATCAGAGGATCACAGTTTGAGGCAGGCCTGCACAGAGAAGTCTATGGGACTCTTATCTCCAATTAACCAGCAAAGAGCCAGAACTAGAGCAGTGGCTCAAGTGGTAGAGGGCCAGGTTTGAGCAAAAGAGGCAAGTGAGAAAATAAGGCCTTGAGTTCAAGTTCCAGGATCATCACTAAAAAAAAAAACGTGTACATCTACAAAGCTTCAGTGAGGGAGGGTAGCGGCTGAGATGCGGCTCGAGGGACGGAGCACTCGCCCCCCTTGGGCAAAGCCCAGCACCAAAACCAGTTTTCTAAAACTCAAAACCCAAAACTTTTCTGGAAAGATACAGGCTAAGTTGGTGTAACAAACAAGCCTGACTCTTCTACAAGGCAGAAATGACCTCAGGAAGCCTGCAGAAGCAGGTGGCCCAGAGTCATTTACCTGCCCCTTCTGGGGGCTCCAGTGCAGCCCTCGGCCAGCCCTGGGGAAGGACACGGTCCACAAAAGCAAAGGCCCACTCTGCACCGCCGCCGCCGCTTGTCCCCATGTGCTGCGGGCTGCAGCGTGCACACCTCTCAGCTACAGGAGGCTGACATGGCACTTGTCACGGGCCCCCCAGCAGTCAGAACTGGGGAACAAAGGCTGCTGGATGGGTTGAATCTCAATGCCCCCATAGGCAGGGCACCAAGTACGTGCTGGAAGGCCACCATGACCTGAAAGGCAGTCAAGTCCCCGGGACCTGGCGTGGAGAAGCTTTCAGCAGTGCTGCAGAGGATGGCAGTGTTCTGTCTTTGAGGGTGGATAATCCGCACAACTTCTGTGCATTTGCCCCAATCACTTGGCTTCAGGAAGGCGGAGACACAAAGCTGGAAGCAGCACCTTTAAGGAAGCTGAAGCTGGCCTTTGGGAGGGGCCCTGGTGCCAATGGCTGCCCCTCCCCCTGCCCACGGAGAAGGGGCTCAGTCCTCATTCACTTTCGAAGTTAAAATGATAGAAAATTGTGTAAGTTCCTGTGTTTGTCACCTGAGATGATCGACTCCTGTGGAGAAAAGATATATTCCGGCTCTCCAGGTTGGAGGTTCTGGCCTAAGGTCGTCTGGTCCTTGTTTTTAGGCCTGTACCATAGCACATCCTGGCGGACAGTGGAAACGTGAGCCTCCCGTACCTAGCTACTGGACTCCCATAATCCCTCCAAGGAACCTCCTGGTAGACACCACCCCTTAAACCTGCCAGGACTGGGCTGGGAACCACGCCTTCACACCCAGGCCTCTATAGATCCAAACCAAAGACGCTGCTAAATCTCCATTTATTTTTTGGCTGTTATAATGCACATATGTGTTTATTATTGAAAACCATCGATGGTTACTAGAAGCCAGGTTTGGTGGCCCATACCTCTCACCCCAGCATTTGAGAGACAGAGGCAAAGGACTGTGAGTTTGAGACCAGCCTGTGCTATCTAATGAGCTCCTGTCTCAAATCAAAACAAACAGAAAAAAATAAGCAGAAAATGAAGATGAGGTAGTCTCCTGGGACACATTGCTGTTGTTTAACACAGCACTAGATAGAGAATATAACGTTCAGTAGCTGAGAAATGTTATGAATTAAAATGGTGGACTGGGAAGAGATCAAGATGGCGACGGGGCAGTAGGGAAACGCCACAGCTCTCTCCAACCAAAAAGAGAGTTCAAGTTCCAACGTTTAATCTCCCCAAGAGACCGACAACAACAAAAAGACGAACACTCAGAGAAAAACCAGAGGTGGAAAATAACAAAAAAAGAAAGAGAGGAAAAGAAGAATTTCAGAACAGACAAGAGCGAAGACCCCTCCCCCAACTTTTACTGGCCGCACGGCAGTGCGCCAAGCCGCCGGCCAGCCGGCCCGGCGGGGGCTGCCGGAGCCACAGAGACACAGGGGGCTGCTTGCAGATCACCAGGTACCGGATTGCAGAACAGCGGATCGGATCGCCAGGAACAGAGAAACCTACCAGCCGGGAGTCTCCACGAGGATCCCACCCCCACCCCTCACTCTCCACCGGAGCGGAGAGGCTCCATCCCGCCAAAGCTGCCCGGCACCAGCAGCGCGACAAAGGGACCTGTCGGCAGACCACCCGCCCAATCGCGATCGCAACTACCCGGCGGGGGGCCGCCCAACCCAGTCCGCAACCACCCCAACTGAACTCAGATTGCAACAACAACTGACGACCTACAGGGTGAGTACCCAACAGGGGACAGTGAATCCATCAAGGGAGACCAGAGCTGGAGGGAATCCCCAGACCCTGACCTAGACTCCCTACCCCAACATCCGGACCACAGGACCCACTAAAACTGGGAACTGTTCGAGAGCTCCACCAGCTGGTGGAGCACACTCTGCTGGCCAGGCCAGAGCAAGAGCGCCCCTGGAAGGGAGCTTAAATGCCCAAGCCAGGAACAGCGCCCTTGGGTCAAGACTACCAACAGTAGAAGAAATTTGAACTGTGTCCTCCAGGCTGCATAACCTAGGTGGTATACACATTAGCACAGGCCTAACGAGCGCGCTCCAGGCTGGGGCCAGAACCAGGCCCGGGGACCGGCGCCTGAACAAAGCAAAAAGGGTCAGAAGTAGGGCTGTGGCTCAAATGGTAGGGTGCCAGCCTTGAGCTGAAGAGCTGAGGGACAGCACCCAAACCTAGAGTTCAAGCCCACAACCAGCCCAAAACAAACAAACAAAAACACATCAGGAGCCCATAGCAGACTCCAGTATTTGGGAGAGTGCATCCAGAGCATCTGATCTTCCCAAGAGCACCCGCAGGAGCAAACACAAGCAGTCTAGGCTGCTCAACCCTTCCAAAGGCGGGAATTGCTACAGCAGAGAGCTGAGAATCCTAAGTAAGTCAGAATAGCAGCTGGAAATAGGCTCCCAACAGAATCCAGATCAGGCACAGACTCTCTCTACCAATACAGAATCAGCAACCAAGCAAAGATAGACACACCAAAACAAGATTGAAGAGCAGTCTCCTGAACCCCCATGCGAAAATCACAGAGAAAAATCACAAGGTTTACCACTACCCAGGATAGCAAGCTCACCTTAAAAGCCAGCAGCCACGCAGGGGAGAGCCCCAGTGGGAGCAAAGCAGGAATGGAAGACAAAAACTACATCCAAGGGTTGCTGGAGGCAATGACTCAAGAAATAAAGCGAGAAATGGATCAGAAATTGAAAGAGCACAAGGATGAACTATCAAAAGATATACAGGATATCAAACAAAAGTTGGATGCAAAAATAGAAGCTGCACAAACCTCAGTAAGAAGTGAGATAAACGCCAAATTAGAGGTAATGCATACTGATCTCACCTCATTGAGAGGTGAGATCAGTACTCTGAGAACCAACATTGAATCCATAAAGGGATCCATTTCCACCATGCAAACCACAATAGAAGCCACGGTCAACAGAGTGAATGAAATGGAAGGTAGAGTGTCAGATACAGAAGACAGAATACACCAACTGGACCAAAAAGTGACAGATATGGAAAAATCACTCAAATTAAACCAAAGGGAAATTCAAGAGCAAGCAGATAATGCTAAAAAATTTAACCTTCGCATAATCGGAGTGGACGAAGGTGAGGAATTCCAGAGCAAGGGAATGCAACGCCTATTTAACAAGATAGTCAATGAAAATTTTCCCCACCTCAAAAACGACCATCTTAACTACATCACAAAAGCTTATCGAACACCCAACAAGCAAGATCCCAGGAGAAACACTTCTAGGCACATTATAGTAAAAATGATGGATCTGAATAATAAGGAAACAATCCTGCATGCAGCAAAAATGAAGAAGGAGCTATACTACAACGGGAAAAAAATTAGAATCACTGCAGATCTCTCCACACAAACAATGAATGCAAGAAAAGCCTGGGAAAGCACCATACGAGCCCTGAGAGCCAATAACTGCCAACCCAGACTGATATACCCGGCAAAGCTAGCATTCACATTCGATGGAGAACTGAAAACTTTTAATAGCAAAGAAAAACTAAATGAATACATAAACATTAAGCCAGCATTACAAAGGATTCTAAGAGGGGGGACACAACCTGAAGAAAGCAACCAGGAACTGGGACTTGCCCCAAACAGGCATTACTCAAAGTCTAACTGAGCAAGCACAGGAGGAAAGGAAAGAAGAAAAACTTAGGAAAACGGAATGGCAGGGACAACAATGCATCTCTCTATACTTTCTCTTAATATAAATGGGCTGAATTCGCCAATTAAAAGAAAACGAACTGAGGACTGGATCAGAAAACAAGACCCATCCATCTGTTGCCTTCAGGAGACCCACCTCTCAGCCAAACATACAAACAAACTCAGAGTGAAGGGGTGGAAAAGGATCTACCAATCAAATTCCCCCAATAAGAAAGCAGGTGTAGCTATCCTGATATCTGACAAAATAAACTTTTCATTAAAATCAGTACAGAAAGACAAGGACGGACACTACATATTAATAAAGGGAACAATCCAAGAGGAGGATATAACCATCATCAACTTATATGCCCCAAATATCGGTGCACCCAGATATGTTAAACAAATGCTCTCAAACTTACAGAATAAAATAGATCCCAATACGATAATACTAGGAGACTTTAACACGCCACTCTCACCAAAGGACAGGTCTACCAACCAGAGGATTGGCAAAGAAGCTACCGAATTAAGTGAGGCCATACTTCAAGCGGAATTAACTGACATCTACCGAGTATTTCACCCTAAAACAACACAGTACACATTCTTCTCAGCAGCTCATGGAACTTTCTCCAAAATAGGCCATATCATAGTTCATGCAAGGAACTTAAGCAAATACAAAGGGATCGACATACTCCCCTGTATCCTATCTGACCACAGTGGAATCAAGCTAGCTCTCAATAACAAAGCATACCGCAGAAATTTCTCTAATACATGGAAATTGAACAGCACACTCCTTAACAAGGCCTGGGTAACAGAAGAGATCAGAAAAGAAATAAAGCATTTCCTACAACTCAATGAAAATGAAAACACCTCACAAAGAAACTTGTGGGACACAGCAAAAGCAGTCCTGAGGGGCAAATTTATTGCCCTCAGTGCCCACATCAAGAGAATGGAAACAGACCAAGTAAATAATCTCATGTTGCAACTAAAACAGCTAGAAAAACAAGAAAAAATGGGACCTAAAGCTACTAGACGAAGCCAGATAACCAAATTGAGAGCAGAGATTAACCAATTAGAAAATCAGAAAACCATAACCAAAATAAACCAAACAAAAAGCTGGTTCTTTGAAAAAATAAACAAAATTGATGGCCCGTTGGCAAGATTAATTAAAAAAAGAAGAGAGGAAACCCATATTAATAGGATTAGGGATGCCACGGGAAACATCACAACACGTACCCAAGATATCCAAACAATTCTAACAGACTACTTTCAAAAGCTATACTCTCTAAAGGAAGAAAATCTGGCGGAAATGGATGCATTTTTAGAGAAATACAAGTTACCCAAACTGAGCAAAGAAGAAGTTAACCAATTAAATAAGCCAATATCCTATAATGAGATACAGGAAGCTATCAAAAGTCTTCCAACAAAAAAAAGCCCAGGACCAGATGGATTCACAGCAGAATTCTATAAGACCTTTAAAGAAGAACTAATACCCATACTCCTCAAGCTCTTCAGAGAAACAGAGAAGGAGGGAGCTATCCCAAACTCATTCTACGAAGCCAATATCACACTCATCCCCAAACCAGGCAAAGACCCAACCAAAAAGGAGAATTACAGGCCAATCTCCTTGATGAACACAGATGCAAAGATCCTTAACAAGATTCTAGCTAACAGAATCCAGAAACACATTAAAAAAATAATACACTATGATCAGGTAGGCTTCATCCCAGAGACACAGGGATGGTTTAACATACGTAAGTCAATAAATGTAATCCAGCATATCAACAGAGCCAAGGTCAAGAATCACATGATTATCGCCACAGATGCAGAAAAGGCCTTTGATAAAATTCAACATTCATTCATGCTAAAAGCTCTGGAGAAAATAGGAATAGAAGGAACATTTCTAAAAACAATAAAAGCCATTTATGACAGACCAATAGCCAATATCATACTTAATGGGGAAAAGCTACAACCAATCCTCCTAAAAACAGGAACAAGGCAAGGATGTCCACTGTCTCCACTCCTCTTCAACATAGTCCTAGAACCCTTAGCCAGGGCAATAAGGCAAGAAAAAGACATTAAAGGGATCCGCATAGGGAAAGAAGAAGTGAAACTATCCCTTTTTGCAGACGACATGATACTATACCTCCACGATCCCAAAAACTCCATCCCCAAACTTTTAGAAATCATAAGTCACTTCGGCAAAATAGCAGGATACAAAATAAACCCACAAAAATCAGTTGCCTTCCTATACACTGATAACGCACAGGAAGAGAGGGAAATAAAGGGAGCAACCCCATTCACAATAACCTCCCAAAAAATAAAATATTTAGGAATTAACCTAACCAAAGATGTAAAAGAACTATTTAATGAGAACTATAAAAAGTTAAAGAAAGAAATTGCAGAAGACACTAGGAAATGGAAAGACCTCCCATGCTCCTGGATAGGCCGACTTAATATAGTAAAGATGGTGATACTTCCAAAACTAATATACAAATTCAATGCAATTCCTATTAAAATCCCAATGACGTACATCACTGAAATACAGAAAACAGTCCAAAAATTTATATGGAACAACAAAAGACCTAGAATAGCCAAAACAATTCTAGGGGATAAAGACAATATGGGAGGGCTATCCATGCCGAACTTCAAACTCTACTACAGAGCTATAATCACAAAGACAGCATGGTACTGGCACAAAAACAGACCCGAAGACCAATGGAACAGAATAGAAGATCCAGATATAAATCCACAGGCCTACAGCCAGCTGATATTCGACAAAGGAGCCAAAGACATACAATGGAAGAAACACAGCCTCTTCAACCGCTGGTGCTGGGAAAACTGGGCAGCCACATGCAGAAAACTAAAAGTGGACCCCAGCCTATCACCATGCACCAACATCAACTCAAAATGGATTAAAGACCTTAACATTAAACCTGACTCTCTGAAACTACTGCAGGACAGAGTAGGAGAGACACTTGAACTAATAGGCACAGGAAGGAACTTCCTGAACAGAGTCCCAGGGTCACAACAAGTTGGAGAGAGACTCGACAAATGGGACTACCTTAAAATAAAAAGCTTCTGCACAGCTAAATCTATCGCAACTAAGCTAGAAAGACAACCAACTAATTGGGAAAAAATATTTACCAGCAATATATCAGACAAGGGGTTAACATCCTGTATATACAGGGAACTCAAGAAACTAATCCCTCCCAAACCTAACAAACCAATTACTAAATGGGCAAGGGAACTAAAGAGGGACTTCTCAAATGAAGAAATAAAAATGGCAAAGAAACACATGAGGAAATGTTCATCATCCCTGGTGGTGAAGGAAATGCAAATAAAGACAACCCTGAGATACCACCTTACCCCAGTCAGAATGTCCCACATCCACAAATCAGCCAACGACAAATGCTGGAGGGGATGTGGAGAAAGAGGAACCCTATTACACTGCTGGTGGGAATGTACACTTATACAACCACTTTGGAAAGCAGTCTGGAGGGTCCTTAGAAAGCTAAAGATTGACCTCCCTTACGACCCAGTCATACCACTTCTAGGCATCTACCCTGAACAACAGGAACCAATATACAAGGACACGTGCACCTCCATGTTTATTGCAGCACTGTTCGCAATAGCTAGGATATGGAAACAACCTAGGTGCCCCACCACAGATGAATGGATCCAAAAATTGTGGTATCTATACACAATGGAATATTATGCAGCCATTAGAAATGACAAAATAATGGCATTTGCAGGGAAATGGATGGAGCTAGAAGGAATCATGTTGAGCGAGGTAAGCCAAGAACAAAGAGACAAACGGTACATGGTCTCCCTCATAAGTGGATGCTAAATCCAAAAGGTTAGGTGATACGACAAAACTAACAGGACTTAAGAAACAAAGAACTCCCGCTCATCTGGTTGAACCACTACTAAATATCCCCATGCTGCTGATCACAAATATGGTATATAACATGTGAACACTGTTATATATTACAGACTGTGGTAGACAATTTGCTCCAGGGAAGTTAGAATGAACTTGTGACTTTGAAATTATGTAATCATTTAATCACAACCAAAAAAAAAAAAAAGAACCTCGGGGAAGGGAGGGAGGGAGGGGATGGTAGGGGGAAAACAATGGAGGGGGTAACAATGTTCAAGAGGAAGTGTACTCATAACCTCACTCATGTAACTGTAACCCTCTGTATAGTAGCTTTACAATAAAAAAAAATAAAATGGTGGACTGGTGCTAGGCACAGGAGGCTCACACCTATAATCCTGGCTACTAAGGAGGCTGAGATCATGGTTTGAAGCTAGCCCAGGCAGAAAAGTCTGTGAGACTCTTATCTCCAATTAACCACCTAAAAACCAGAAGTGGTGGGGGCTGGGAAGGTAGCTTAGTGGTAATGTGCTTGCCTTGCATCATGAGGCCCTCAGCACCACATAAGCAAAAGAAAAAAGCCGGAATTGGCACTGTGGCTCAAGTGATAGAGCGCTCGCCTTGAGCTGAAGAGCTGAGGGACAGCTCCCAGGCCCAGAGTTCAGGCCCCACAACCGGACTCCCCCCCAAAAAAACAAAAAAAAAAACAGAAGTGGTGCTGTGGCTCATAGTGGTAGAGCACTAGCCTTGAGTGAAAAAGCTCAGGGACAGTGACCAGGCCCTGAGTTCAAGCTCCATGACTCACAAAAAAAAAAAGTGGTTATTTACATTGTGATAGCTCCCCTCCTGCATACTGATTTTCTTTTATTTCTTTTTAAAATCTTTGGTGATATTGGATTTTTTTGTAACTCAGGGCCTTGTTCCACACCTTAGCCATTTTGCTTTTAGTTATTTTCTTTTTTTCTTTTTATTTTTTGGTTGGTTGTGGGGCTTGAACTCTGGGCTTGGGCACTGTCTCTGCGCTCTTCAGCTCAAGGCGAGCGCTCTAAAAGCCACTTGAGCCACAGCACCACTTCCAGCTTTCTAGTGGTTTTTATTGGAGATAAGAGTCTCATGGACTTTCCTGCCCGGGCTGGCTTTGAACCTCGATCCTCAGGTCTTAGCCTCCTGAGTAGCTAGGATTACAGGTGTAAGCCACCGGCACCCTGCCGTTATTTTTCAAACAAAGTCTCATACTGTTTCCCCAGCCAGCCCTGGACCACAATCCTCCTTTCACCTCCCTCTGAGCTGGGATTACAGGTATGACTTGCCACCTCCAGCATCTTCAATGAGACGAGACCTTACTAACTTTTTGCCTAGGCTGGTCTTGAACCACAGTGTTCTTGATCTCTACATCCAGCCCCTATGTGTTTTGATGATGGTCATCTTGCTTTGTCTGCTAACGACTTTTCCAAACTTGTTGCAGGTGAGTGGTGAAATGCACGTGCCAGCACCGCCAGAGCCATTTCCTTTAACACCACGGGCTGTGGAAGCCAAAGCAGAGAGGAACGAAGGTAGCCCATGATGTCTCTTGTAACTGCTCTGCAGTTTGGTGGCATGCTGTGAAACTACCACAAATGAAGATGTCAGTGGGCACATCTGTGACGCCAGCTTGTTAAGCTGAGACGTGAGGATCTCACTTGATTCCACACAGACAGACAAACCCAACACACTCTTGTCTCCAGATAACCAATAAAAAGCCAGAGGTGGAAGTGGGGCTCAAGTAGGAGAGCACCATCCCTGAGCGGAAAAATCCATGTGAAGGTGTGATGCCCTGAGCATAAGCCTCAGTGCCCACACACACGCCAAAAACAAAGATGTAATACCGACTTCTGTGTGTTGGAGGGAAGCCTCAGCCCAGTATACACCAAAAACAAAAATGATATTAATCAACTTTTATGTGTTGGAGGGAAGAAATATCTAGGATAGATAGTAAAGATGACTGGACATGGCTGAACATATGAGCTCATATTTGTTAAAAAAAATGACATTTTGGAAGGCACACTCTAAACTGGTCAAAACAGAGTAAAATGACTGAAGAGTCTATTTCTGCTCAACACACTGTTAAAATGTCTGGATTTTATCAAGAGTATATGTTACTTTAATAATTAGAAAATGATTATATAAGTACTTGACACCTAGTGACTTATCTCAATTGCTGGCATGTTACACATCACTTAAATTAAGAACAAAAACATAATGTTTCCCCCCATAATCCTAGCTACTCAGGAAGTTGAGATCTCAGAATTGAGTTTTTGCTTGTTTGTTTGTTTGTTTGTTTGTTTGTTTTTTGGGTCTGGTCCTGGGGCCTGAACTCTGGGCCTGGGCGCTGTCCCTCAGCTTTTCAGCTCAAGGCTACCATTCTATCACTTGAGCCACAGCGCCACTTTCGGCTTTTTTCTTTTTGCTTATGTGGTGCTGAGGAATCGAACCCAGGGCCTCAGGCATGCAAGGCAAGCGCTCTACCACTGAGCCATCTTCCCAGCCCTCAGAATTGAGTTTTGAGGCCAGTCAGGGCAGACAAATCTGAGAGCTTCTTTAATTGACCAGCAAAAGGCTGTACTGTTATCAGTCCTCTTAATGAGATGAAGCCATCTTGGAAGACAAAGATTTTTCAGGAGAGAAGGAAAAGAAATGGAGGCGTATGTTTGTGTGTGTATGTGTGTGTGTGTATGTCTATGTCTGTCTGTGTCTGTGTCTGTGTGTCTGTGTGTATGCCAGTCCTGGGGCTTGAACTCAAGGCCTGGGTGCTGGCCCTCATCTTTTCTGCTCAGGATTGGTGCCCTACCACTTGAGCTCTCCACTTCCAGCTTTTTGGTGATTAATTGGAAATAAGCCAGCCCAAGCTGGCATTAAGCTGTGATCCTCAGGTCTCAGGCTTCTGAGTAGCTAGGATTACAGATGTGAGCCACCAGCTCCTGATTTAGCCATTTTAAAAGTAAACATTAAAATAACAGATGTCTTTGAAATGAAGCCTTACTCTGCCTCATAACCAGGATAGTGTTTTAAGTGGACTAGAAAACAGGACACTTTTTTTTTTTTCTTGTCGGTTGTGGGGCTCTTCAGCTCAAGGCTAGTGCTCTACCATTTGAACCTCAGCACCACTTTGGTTTTTGGGTGGTTAATTGGAGATAAGAGTCTCACAGAAGCCAGGCACTGATGGCTCACACCTGTAATCCTAGCTACTCAGGAGGTTGAGATCTGAGGATCTCGGTTCAAAGCCAGCCCAGCCAGGAAAGACCATGAGACTCCTATCTCCAATAAACCACTAGAAAACCAGAAGTGGTGCTGTAGCTCAAGTGATAGAGTGCTCGCCTTGAGTTGAAGAGCTGAGGGATAGCACCCAGGCCCAGAGTTCAAGCCCCACAACCGGAAAAAAAAAAAAAAAAAAAAAAGTCTCACAGATTTCCCTGCCTGGGCTGGCTTTGAACTGTGATCCTCAGATCTCAGCCTCCTGAGTAGGATTACAGACATGAGCCACCGGGCTGGGAAGGTGGCTCAGTGGTAGAGCGCTTACCTTGCATGCATGAGGCTGTGGGTTCGATTCCTCATAAGCAAAAAAGAAAAAACCGGAAGTGGCGCTGTGGCTCAAGTGGTAGAGCACTAGCCTTGAGCTGAAGAGCACCAAAAAAAAAAAAAAAAAAAAACAGACATGAGCCACCGGTGCCAGCCAACAGGACACATTTCTTAGCTCTCTGCATCCTTGTACCTAGCAGTATGGTATTTCCAAGTGTTGACTTGGGGGGAAAAGGAAAGTGTAAAATGCCTGAGCACAAGTTAGAACTCTGAACAGTAATATCTGTTAAAGAGATTGCTAGCCCTTTTATTCTTCAAAACCACTGGGGGAAAAAATCATTCCAGGGGTTGGAACCATGGCTTAGGTGGTAGAGTGTCAGTTGAGAGTGAAAGCTTCAGATCAAGAGTTCAAATCCCTGTTTTATTGTATTTTAGATTAAATTTCTCCTGATTGGGGAAGGGGATATAGAGAATATGGCTAATAGATGCATGTATGTGTCAAAGAGGAGAAATCACTTCTAATGTTCTATAGTATAGTAGGGTGGCTACAGTTGCCAATTGTGCTTTTCAACTGGGCATGGCAGCATATGCCTATAATCCCAGCACCAGGGAAGCTGAGCAGGAAGATCACAAATTCAGTCAGCCTGGGCTTCATGTTGAGATCCTATCTCCAAAAAAAATATATATGTGTGTGAAGTGGCACCACAAAAATAATAGCAATGAGTAGAATATAGAGCTAGAAAGAAAGGTGCTGGCAGGTAAAACTGGATGGGTGAGATGGAGGCTGAACGGTCGGCCGAGGCTCACACACTCCAGAGCAGGTTCGGGGCGTATGCTTTCTGCATTAATGTCAGTGTGTTGCGTTTCCAGGTATTCCAGAGCAAGGACCAAGTGTGGAAGGCCTCAACGCCCCAGGGAAGGCTGCTCTAGGTAATAGGCTGAGCGCCATTGTCTGACCTGTAGGGTAAGAGTCAATAAGGAAAAAAAAAAAGATTTCTGATTTTGCATTTGTCTTGGTGTCTCAGCTCTCGGGTGTATGTGTGCCCGTCCTAGGGCTTGAACTCAGGTCCTGTGTGGTGCCTTAGCCACTGTCTGCTGCTGCTGGCTGCTCTTGCTTCATCCGGACGCCTGAGATAAGCAGCTCAGCGTCCTGCCTCACTACGCAGCCACAAACTTGCCACTTGCTTCTCTCTCTGGGCTTACGACGTCATTATCAGGGAATTGTACTTTTAAATCTGCACATGTTACACTTTATGCGTTAAAGCAGCCACTGCTGCGCATCTAGCTAGCGTTTGCAGTCCCTGCAGGAGAACCGTGGTGCTTGCCTTCTGCTGCTCTGACTTCAGGTTCTCCTTTTGGCAGAAGTGTCATCGATCATCAAGAAGAAACCCAATCCAGCCAAACGAGGAGTGAGTACTATGCTATCTGTAGAATAAGCACTCGGTCGGCTCAGAACTAGACAGCCACTTGGTCCTTGAGAGGGTCATCTTTGATTTTTAATTATATAAGTTAAGATATAGTATAATAAGTGTGGCTTGGACAGCTGTATTTTACTCAGTGAAGTGGCTGTCACACAGATATTTTCTAGAATGTCTAGTTGACATTCCTGCGTCTCTGACAAAATATTTAAAGAAAAAAACAAAAATGGAGACCTAGGAGTTGCCCTGCTATGTGTGAACGCAGCTCCAGGCTGAGGGGACGGGAGGGGTGCTAGGTGGAGAACCATCCTGTCTGCAGGGATGCACTGACATGCTGTTCCGTGGAACTGGGGGCCAGGCCAGACTTCCTGCTGTGTGGTCTAGCCACCCTGCTTGATAGCCTGAGCTGCAAGGGCCTGGCCATGCCAGCCTCAGCCTCGGATGAAGCGGGGGACAAATGTTAGCATCCCAGGGTGGGTGGTGCAGGGACCAGCATTTGTTCCCTGCAGTTTCCAGGGTTTTCAAGGGCATTAAACACTCTTCTATGTGTTCCAGCTTGGGGCCAAAAAGGGAAGCCTAGGAGCCCAAAAACTGGCGAACAGCAGCTTTACTGAGATCGAGAAGCAAGCCCAGGCTGTGGATAAGATGAAGGAGCCGGAAGACCAGGCCAGGGCAGCGCCAAAGGAGGAGTCTGTGTAAGTGCAGCCCCCTCACAGCACAACTGTCATTCAGCAGCCCTGGACTGGCTTTCTGGATGCTTCCAAGGGAACATGTGGAGAGTGAGCCAGAGTGTCCTTGCGTGAAAGTCTCCATCACCGGCCTGGAGGTCAGGAGGGTGGCACCCGTGGCCAAGGAAGTAGCTGCAGGGCCTTCTGGGAGCAGTGAGGGCCAGAGAGGATGGAAGGTGCTGGGCATGGGTGGCCTGGGAAGATGCAAATCCAAACCACACAACAGCTTCAGTCCAGCGACGGTAGCCAGAGACAAAAAGACCAGGCGAGCCAGGCACTGGTGGTTCACATCGGTAATCCTACCTACTCAGGAAGCTGAGATCTGAGGATTGTGGTTAGAAGTCACCTGGGAAGAAAGTCCGTGAGACTGTCCTCTCCAGTAAACTACCCAGAAAAAGCTGGAGATGGTGCTGTGGTACAGCACTATCCTTAAGCACAAAGAGGCTCGAGACAGTGCCCAGGTCCTAGGTTCAAGCCCTAGGACTGGGAAGGAAGGAAGAAAGGAAGGAAGGAAGATAGAAAGGAAGGAAGGAAGGAAGGAAGGAAGGAAGAAGGAAGGAAGGAAGGAAGGAAGGAAGGAAGGAAGGAAGGGGAAAGAAAACCCTGACTGTCCTTCAGAAAGTCAAACCTAAAACTGGGTTGTAGCTTTGACAGGACCAGTACTTAACCCTCACTAGGCCCATTTCCACCCCAATACGAGAATAATAATAAGCGGCGCCATGCCACAGCGTGTGCCCTGGAGGAGCGAGCCAGGCACTGGTGCTCACACCTGCAGCCCACCTACCCAGGAGGCTAGGGTCTTAGGATTGCATTCCCAAACCAGTTAGGACAGGAAAGGCCACGAGACACCTACATCCAGTTACCCACCAGAGAGAAGTAGAGCCGTCAGCCTTGAGTAAAAGAAGCTGAGGGACAGTGCCCAGATCATGAATTCAAGCCTCAGGACTGGCACACTCTCTCATCTGTAGGGAGTGTCCAGAACAGGCCAGTCCATGCCAACAGAGGAGGAGGAAGGGGAGGAGGGGGAGGAACAAGAGGAGCTCCACTGCCACCAGTGGCTATTTTTTGGTGGTTTTTTTCTTATTTTCATGCATATTTTAGCTGCTTTATGTACTGTTAACAAATGCAGCTACCTTCCGAGGTTGGTTTTAAGCGTAGCTTGGTTAATGGCTATTACTGTGCCTCCAGCAGCAGGTAGGAGGGTCTCAATAGGCAACAGTTGTTCCATCTATTTGCCCTGCCAGCTTGCTGGTGGACTTAACAGGAAAAGCCAGCACTGATGTGGGAAATAGGTGGTTATTTCTCCTTCAGGACACCGGGGGCAGCACTGAGCCATGCACATGGAGATGCCATGGACTTGATCTCTTACCCAGAAGTTTCCTGCCCAGACAAAGGGGCAGGTTCACTGCTTGGGAGTAGGCTCTGACACACTTCAGCTGGAGTGTAAAATCAGAAGCCTGAGAAGAGCTTGAGGGTCGCAGGGCGGGCAGGACGGCTACTGCCTCCCTACAGCGGGAGGAACGGGGGATGGGCCAGCCAGGGAGGTTCTCTTCCCGCAGTGGGGAGGAGGCTAGAGAAGCAGAAAGGCCTGGATTGGCAGCGTCCTCAGGCTGGGAGCCACACCGCCCCCTTCTTCAGGTGTCTAATACACCACAAAAGCAGAGGTGCTGCTGAGGGATGGTGGGATCTGACTTTGGAGCTAATCTGGCAGCTTCCTTGGGCCCTGTTCAGGACCCTGAGGCCTGGGCCTGCATCCCATGCTCAGCTCACCTCTCTGTCCCAGACCTATGTTGGGCTAACCAGGAGCAGCATGCTGTCTTGCCCTTCCCAGGGACAGCTTGCTCTGCAAGTTAAGGTTTTCGTAGCTGTGAAAGAACGGTCCAGAAACCAGAGCAGCAACAGAGTAGGAAACTAACGCTTCAGAGCAGTTCCCTGACACAAGCCTTCTGGCAGTTTCTTGGGGGGATGGGGAGGATCTCTGGTGTGAGAGCAGGGGCTTCTAGGAGTGCCGGCTGGCCTCATGTCGCATCTTACCAGTAGAGTGTGTTCATTCTGTTTGTGCTCTTAGAGAATGCCAAAATCCTATTGCCTGTCAATAATTAAACTTGAACTATTTATACGCTAAGGAAGAAGATAGTCCTAATCTGTTCTGTGATAATAATCATATAAAAGAAAAAAAAATCTGCCGGGTTAAAGCAGACCAAAGGAATCCGCTCTGTCAGTTAGCAGGAAAGCAAGACTCACAGGTTTCCTCGGGAGACATCCCTTGTCACTCCCAGGACAGCACACGTTTGCATTACTGCTGCAGTTTTCCATGTCTCTTATGAGGAACTCATGACATTTTTCATGATTTTTGTGAAATGGATGATAACTTACAAACACAAGGTAGGCTTATCACTTGTCAAGACACCAAAATTCTTTTGCTGCTTCCTGATAGGATGTGATACTACTGTTAATGTCAATAGAGGCAGTTTGCTTTGTGGAAAAAAATTAAGTATGTGTTGCGTATTTAGAAAAGTATGAGCAGCTATCTTTTGTCAAGGTTATTTTTATTTCTTGGTGGTCCTGGGGATCAAACTCAGGGCTTGCACCTACTGCACGGCCAGTTCCGCTGAGCTGCGCCCAGCCCCATCTCTGTATCTTTTGATGCCTTCAGTGCACTGTCTGTGCAGGTGTTTGGTGAGCAGGTCGGTACAGGGCTGGTGGTGCTGGTGTCTGCTGAGTAAGTGTATTCATCCTCTATCACAGCACGGCAGCATGGCCGAGCCGCCTCTGCCATCCGGGCAGCAGTCACCATCCACCGCCACTGTTCTGAAGGGGAGGCATTGAGGCAGACATTAGAATATCAGACAGTGAAAGCTCCTCAGAGCTCAGTTTGAAGAGCAGCCTCCACAAAGAGGCTGAAAAGTCATTTCCGTTTCCTGGAGCATCTGCTCAAAAAGATACCTTTTAAAAAAAAAAAAATGGAGGGATGGGGCTGGGAAGGTGGCTCAGTGGTAAAGTGCTTACCTTGCATGCATGAGGCCCTGGGTTCTATTCCTCAGCACCACATAAACAGAAAAAAACCGGAAGCTCAAACGGTGGAGCGCTAGCCTTGAGCTGAAGAGCTGAGCGACAGCGCCCAGGCCCAAAGTTCAGACCCCACCACCAACAAAAAAAAAAAAAAGGGGATGTCAGTGGCTCACATCTGTAATCTAGCTACTCAGGAGGCTGAGATCTGAGGATCATGGTTCATAGCCAGCCCCAGCAGGAAAAATCCATGAGACTCTTATCTTTAATTAACTACATAAAAGCTAGAAGTGATGGTGTGGCTCAAGTGGTAGAGCACAGGCTTGAGTGAAAAAGCTCAGGGACAATGCCTAGGCCCTGAGTTCAGGCCCTAGGACCAACACACACATAGACACACAGCCAACTTGCCTTCTTAACTGGTAATTGTGGAAAGACCCGTGGTTTGGCTTTGCACTCACTGAAGGAGTGTTTGTTCTTCCTGGCAGTGTGTCGTCCTTACGATTAGCCTACAAGGATCTTGAGCTTCACATGAAGAAAGACATGAAGCCCGGCGTGAGTGGTCGAAGCCAGGCGGAGGCAGAGCGGCTTGGCATGGGCTTTGGGGCCTGCAGAGGGTATGTGAGACCGCCTTCCCCTCCAGCACAGAGTGTGACGCAGGCCCTGAGTGCTGAGCGTGACTGCATCACACTGGGCTGAGCTTGCTCAGCTTTGGCGGGTGGCCTGGGTTCCAGTCCCTTCCCAGCTGCTCCCGCTTCTCTGGCACTCCATGGAGCATGACAAACCACTAACGAGGTTCTGAGACAGGGAACAGGGCACAGCTCCATTAAACCCGCTCCCGGCAGTGCCAGGAGCATCCAGTGTGTGCCGAGTCCGTGGAGCCACCCCTCCCCCCCAGAGATCCCATCTCCTCAGAGCTTTCACACACACACACACACACACACACACACACACACACACACTTTCATTGTTGCTTTTTTTTTGGGGGGGGGGGGGCGCCAGTCGTAGGGCCTGAATCTGGGCCTGGGCGCTGTCCCTCAGCTCTTCAGCTCAAGGCTAGCGCTCTACCACTTGAGCCACAGCGCCACTTCCGGCTTTTTTCCTTTTGCTTATGTGGTGCTGGGGAATCGAACCCAGGGCCTCAGGCATGCAAGGCAAGCACTCTACCACTGAGCCACCTTCCCAGCCCTGTTGCTCATATTTATCTTTGTTCAGAATATAGCTTAAAATATTCATTTGTATCATTTATAAAGATAAAAAATATTAGCTGAAAACTAGGCACTAGCAGCTCACACCCATAATCCTAGCTACTCAGAAGGCTGAGATCTGAGAATCACAGTTCAAAGCCCATCAGGGCAAGAAAGTCCTTGAGACTCTTATTTCCAATTAACCACCAGAAAACTGAAAGTGGTGCTGTGGCCAACAACAACAGTAAACGTAGCTGAGTGTGGTGGCTCATGCTTGTAATCCTAGCTACTTGAGAGGTGGAGATTGGGAGGATTACAGGCAAGGCCAGCCGGGGCAAAAAGCAAGACCCCATCTCAACTAGTAATTGGACAAGGTAGTGCATATCTGTCATCTCAGGTATGCATGAAGAGTAAGTGGGAGGATCACAGTCCACATTGGCCTGGATTTAGACACAAAGAGAATAATTAAAAGTAAAAAGGGAGGGGCTGGGAAGGTGGCTCAGTGGTAGAGCGCTTGCCTTGCATGCATGAGGCCCTGGGTTTGATTCCTCAGCACCACATAAGCAGAAAAAGCTGGAAGTGGCGCTGTGGCTCAAGTGGTAGAGCGCTAGCCTTGAGCTGAAGAGCTGAGGGACAGCGCCCAGGCCCAGAGTTCAAGCCCCACGACTGACAAAAAAAAAAAAGGAAAAAGGGAGAGGAAATTTGCTCAAGTAGTAGAGCACCTGCCTAGCAAGTGTGATATCAACCCCTAGTACTTCCAAAAAGAAAGTATCTGAACTATATGTACGTATAACTTTTCCTGTTGTATTTTCTCAAGCGGTGTTTCACACTCCGTGACATCAGATATGCAGATCATAGAGCAGGAGTCTCCTACCCTGGCAAAACCAAGGAAGAAGTACCACGAAGACGACGAGTCATACTTTACCTCGAGCTCCAGGTATTGTGAACACTTCCCGCCAGGCGCCGGCGCCTGCAGCTCAGAGCCCAGAGCTGCCCGGAGGCCACGCAGCCTTCTAATGATACATTGCAGGAACAGGACACACAAACATGTGTCAGCTAAAACCTAGTTAGGAAGTTATTTCTTTTCCTATCAAAGCTTGTATGTAAGGAACTATACAAAGAATATTGTCGTTGACGTTTGCCCTAAATTTATCTCCATTTATTTTAAGTCCTGGTATTCTACCAAAAAAAAAAAAAAAACTTACCAATTGAGTGTGCCTTCGTGACTTGCACACTGTCATTTTTACCTGCCTTTGATACCCTGTGTAAGGCACGGTTTCCGTTAATAGGGCTTATTTCCAATCATGTGCTTTAAAAAGATTTCAGTACACTGTATACCAGATAAAATTCAGTTGTAATTGGATTTGGAAACCGCATGTTGAGTCATTTCAGAAGGAAGCCCCAAGGGAGGGAAGGAGGGAGGAGGGAGCCAGCCAGCCAGCCCTGGGTCACAGGAAAAGGCTCCGCTCCACTGCTGCTGGCTCCACCCAATGCCTGCAGCGGGCAGTGGAGGGAGAGAGTAGTCCCTCCCCAAGGGTCGCAGGCTTGCTTTTGTCTTTGTCATTGAGGGGCTTCAGGCTGACCACCTCTCTGTGAGTGAACCTCGCTGGTTACTCCCTCCTGGGACTCCTTCTGGGCCTTATATGGCCCTGTAGGTCCAGCAAGAATTCTAAGGCCTTGTTGCCGTGGAGACAGCTGTTTACTTGGCCACCTGGGAACAAGTGCTTTGTTGATGTGGACCAGGTTGTCCTGTGCTGGTGACTTGAGACCAAACACCTCTCAGTGTCCTTGATTGGTGACCGCTGTCAACAGAGCAGAGCATGGGCAGGTCCTTTGAAAGGACCTCAACAGACTCTGAAAGCCAGCCAGTTAGTGCCACAGAGCGCTCTTATTGCTTCCAAATTATTCATCAGCCATTAGAACTTGCAGATTATGAATTATGGAGAGTGCTATTTTGTCCATCCACTGGTCTGGTTTTCTGCTGAGCTCCATTGTTCCAGGGTGTAAACAATAGAGTGACAGGCTGACTTCCCGGCACGCGGCCCTGCAAGCCTCCCGTGCCCCCAGCAGCAACGCAAGCAGCCATGTGTCCTGGCAGGCTAGGGCTCTGCACACACTTGGAGGCGCAGATGTTTTCAGGGTGGAGTGAGCATGCAGCAGGGGGCTCATGGGAGAAAAGGCATTGGAGTCTGGGATCTAGAAACCAAAACATAGGATGGCAGTGACAGTTGGCAGTGGGAAGCGAGGGGAGACCTGAGGAGAGACGGGCCCAGGGCCCAGTCTCATCCTTGGGAGGTGGGGAGGGGCAGCGCAGGCCTGGCTGGACGGCTGTGTGACCCCACTGGTTGCCCTGCTGTAGGTGCGTCCTGCCCTGTGGATGAGCCCTGGTGAGTGCAGCAGACAGGGAAGACCCAGGCAGATGGCTTCCTGTCTCCCCGGAACACTGGAGAGCCCAGCAGTTAGCTAGCCAGTGCTGCTCCCATCCATCCCGTGAGAACTCTGAATTCTGTGATGCTAAAGTGATGTTAAATCCAGAGTTCTTTTGTTGTTGTTGTTGGTCATGGGGCCTGAACTCTGGGCCTGGGCGCTGTCCCTCAGCTCTTCAGCTCAAGGCTAGCGCTCTACCACTTGAGCCATAGCACCACTTCTGGTTTTTTCTGCTTATGTGGTGCTGAGGAATCGAACCCAGGGCCTCATGCATACAAGGCAAGCACTCTACCACTGAGGCACCTTCCCAGCCCAAATCCACAGAGTTCTAAGTACCAGATCTCAGAGTTGAGAGGAACCCAGAGGCAGGGCCTCCGGTGGCAGGTGCTGGCCAACAGCCTCCAGGCGGGGCTGAGGAGCACAGAGCCCGTCCTTGGTGCAGGCTGCACTCAGGGAGAAAGTGATTATGACTCCCAGCAACTTGGAGAGCCACGCGTGTGACCTGCGGGGCAGCCGCGCTGTGCGCAGGTCAGCCAGCCACCTGACGCACATCACCCTGCACACAGCAGAGAAAGTCAGCTCCTCGAGGGTGATTGTTTAGAGTCTCCGGGGTTCCCCTTGTGGCACCCGGACTTTCCGGCTGCAGCATGTGGAAAACAACTTCTCCTGGAGCCTCAAAGAGAGGGCAGGTCGGGTTGAGCAGCCATTAGAAAGGTCTTTGCCAGGGGCTGGGAAGGTGGCTCAGTGGTAGAGCGCTTGCCTTGCATGCATGAGGCCCTGGGTTCGATTCCTCAGCACCACATAAGCAAAAAGAAAAAGCCGGAAGTGGCGCTGTGGCTCAAGTGGTAGAGTGCTGGCCTTGAGCTGAAGAGCTGAGGGACAGCGCCCAGGCCCAGAGTTCAGGCCCCATGACCAGACCAAAAAAAAAAGAAAGGTCTTTGCCAACCAGGCGCCGGTGGCTCACGCCTGTAATTCTAGCTACTCAGGAGGCTGAGATCTGGGTGTGAATGTGTCTTAGTGGTAGAGTGCTTGCGTAGCATGCATGAAGCCCTAGATTTGATTCCTCAGTACTACATACACAGAAAAAGCTGGAAGTGATGCTGTGGCTCAAGTGGTAAAGAGCTAGCCTTGATCAAAAGAAGCTCGGGGACAGCACTTAGGCCCTGAGTTCAAGCCCCAGGACTGGCACAAAAAAAAAAAACAGGAAAACAGTGAGTACCTTAGAAGTGACGTGGACCCGGTCTGCGTCTGTGCGTTGGCCACATCTAGTCACTTCCGGAGGGAGTGACGTGTGGTCCCCAGACCTGGAAACAGGCCCCTGTGAGGCCCTCCTGAGCCGCCGCCCCTTCTGTCCCCATAGGTACTTCGATGAGCCCTTTTCTAGCTGGGATGACAGGACGGACTCCTACTGGAAGAGAGAGAGCAGCCGAGAGCCTGAGGTGGCCGTGAAAAGCGCAGGCTCTGCAGACAGGTATGTCTGGCTGCAGGCTGGTGCGGGGAGGCAGCCGGGTCTGGGCAGCGCCCGGCCGTGGCACAGGCTGGCTTCGTGGGGCTCGGCCACATGCTCTGCTTCAAGAGCATCCTTTGGACTCGCGGGAGCCACACTGATGGTGCACCCCTCAGGGAACCCAGAGTCCTCTTTCCTGGGGGTCCACAGGTTGGGGTGCCCTGCACCAGAACTTTGCCCCATTTGAAGGTGCTGCTTGCACACCCCTGCCTACCAGGGGTTAGGCCCTGAGTTCAATCCCCAGCGCTGCCCAAAAATAATAAAGTAGGAATGAGAAGGGCCTTTGCTGGCCACGAGCTGAGCCGGCTGTGGATGTGCCCGCTGCAGACCTGCCCGCCGGAAGCCCGAGCCCGAGCCCGCCCACCACACAGATGAGGCCCAGAAGAAGTTCGGCAATGCCAAGGCCATCTCCTCAGACATGTACTTCGGAAGACAAGCCCAGACTGACGTAAGGGCCGGAGCGTTCCCGGGGGGAGTCCCAGAAGCAGGAAGGAGCCCTGCCCGCACTGCACCACCACCAGGCAGACAGTGGCGACCTGCATTGGTCTGTCAGCTGTGCCTGGGAGCCCCATCTGGCAGGCCACTGGGAGAGATAGGGCCTCTGCTGGCGCCTCTGCTCCGGGGCTGCGTCCTAATGCTCCCCTCCCCTGTCTTCCTAGTACGAGACCAGGGCCCGGCTGGAGAGGCTGTCGGCCAGCTCCTCCATCAGCTCAGCCGATCTGTTCGAGGACGAGCAGAGGAAGCAGGCGACAGGTGAGCTGACGCCCGAGGCTTCCACGTCTGCTGGCCTGAACTGCTCAAGCAATCCTCATCCCACCTTGTCTCCCATGTGAGCCAGAAAGAGCCGTGGTCACTTGTGGGGCAGGGTGGGGTGGGGTGGGGAAGCGCCCTGTGGCCTGCCCATCAGGTGGTGTCGGGGTGAGCGTTGTTCGGCACGCTGTGGCCTTGCTGCCAGGGGCCTGTCAAGTAGGCGGTTGGCACATGCGGTGAGGATTGATGAGACTCAGGGTCAGGTGCCGCTGCTCAGCACTGGGCACGCAGCCGGGGCCGCGGAGGCCTCGCATGACCTGCGGGGGAAGCGGCATGCGGAGCAGGCGGTCGCAGGAAGGACACGCAAGTGGACGTGGTGCTGGTCACTGGGGGCGGGGACTGGCTAGGCAGGCAGCCTGGGACTGACCTGTGCACATCCTGAGGTCATCCTTTCAGAGGGGAAGCCTGGCACCCATGCGTGGTGCCATCTGCACCCTTGTTTTCTGCTCTGGGGGAGCTGGCTTTGTGGGAGGAAGGCTGTGCGTTTTTTTCTGCATGGACTGACACTGTGGGTGGCCACGTGGCCTTCCAGTGACAATGTCCCCAACACAGAAGGTCATGCGGTGGCCAAGCGTCGGGCTTCCCCAAGTGTGCTGGGTGTGGCAGGCCCCAGCGTGGCCCTCGCACACCTGGGCCCTGCTGGCTGTGGTGGGTGTGGGAGTGGCCGGCAGGTGGGCGGTGGTGAGGGAGGGGGACAGGTGCCTCCCTAGCGCAGAGGCGGGGGGGGGGGGGGGGCTGTTGCTCTATGTCAGTTGGTCGGGTGGGGCGGGCATGAGCCTAGCTTACATCCTCTCTCAGCTCCGGGCCTCTGTCGTAACAGCTTCCTCTGGGACTCACCCCTGGCACAGAGCGCCGGGCTGCCACCCACCACCCCCATGCCCGCGCTCAGCCACCTCGCCAGAGCCGGGGTGGCCAGGCAGCTCCTCCAGGACATTAAAAACCCCACAGGAGGCCCTGGGAGCGCCTCATTCTCCTCTCTTCGTGGCAGAGGTGTGCGGCCACAGAGGAAGGTCTGCTAGCTCGTCCCACCCCGCGTGGGCCCCAGACAAAGCCTGGTCTCTAGAGTTTTTGCACATGGGCACAATCGCCCCAAGACGCCGGCGGTGGGGACGGGACCTCCTGCTCCATCTTGCTGCGCCTCCTCTCACACACGTCTGAGATTAGTGCCCCAAATGCGAGCGCAGCGGCCTGCCTGCGCTCAGTAAATATTTGCTTTGCATTCAGAGGGCATCTCAGCAGCGAGCCAGAGCTGGCGCGGAGGGACGGCCTGTGCGCCTTGTCCTTGAACTCAGTCCCCCTTCGCCACGCCCCCCGGTCCCTGCCATAGGCGCTTGAGCAAGTGAAGGAGAAATAAGGCCGCCGCCGGCGGCAGGCCTGAGGTCACTCTGTGGAGTGGGCCCGGGGACATGGGCTGCATGGTCTGGGAGGGGACAGGAGCATTCGGGTCCCAGTGACAGAGCAGAGCCAGCCCCGTGAGAACTGCTGGAACCGCGAAGCCCTGGCCCACCAGCCTCCGTTTCCTCCAGGAAAGTGGATCCTGGGCATCCAGGCCGGGCCTGCTGCTCTGGGGTGCCAGGACCACCGTGGGGACCCCTGGTCCGCAGGCTCCACACAGTCACTGGCCTGGTGCCTTGGGGCTCCCAAGTGGGATGTGGGCCCAGAGTGTGGGCGCCTTGGGGCCTGTGGTCTCTGGAACATGTCACTCCGTGGGGGGTGGGGGGGCATTGTCACCTGCATGTGGGTCTCCAACAGTGCAGGGCCGGGTCACAGAGGTCGTCGCCGCCGCCGCCGCCACAGTGCCTGGCTGCTCTCTGGCTCAGAGGAGCCGCTGGGGTCTCGCCATTAAGTTTAATGCTCTCATCATCGCGCAAGTGCTTTTCTCTTGGTTCCTCTCCATTTCAAGGAAGTTGGCCCCTGAATTTCCATTAGCGATCCATTTTCTGAAGTGCTGAGAAGTTGTGCTGCACCCCTCCCCCACAGATCCCTGTGCTCTGTCCCGGGTGCCCCCCCCCCGCCCCCCCAGCCAGGCCAGGCCTGGGGACTCTGCACAGCCTCCCTCCTTCAGGGCCGCTGCCCCTCTCCCTCCTCCCTCCTCCCTCCTCCTTCTTCCCTCTTCCCTCCTCCCTCCTCCCAGAGCATCTTTCAAGGGCTTTTGTTTTTTTGGTTTTGTCCCTGCCCAGGGGGTTCAACTCGGGGCCTGGATGCTGTCCTTGGGCTTTTCTACATGAGGCTGACATGCTACCATTTGAGCTTCAGCTCCATCTCTAGCTATTTATTTTCTTCATTTTTGTTGGCTGTGGGGCTTGAACTCAGGGCCTGGGCACTATCCCTGAGCTTTTATGCTCAAGACTAGCACTCTACCACTTTGAGTCACAGCTCCACTTCTTGTTTTCTGGTGGTGCATTAGAGATTAGGTCTCATGACCTTTCCTACCTGAGCTGCCTCCAAGCCATAATCCTCAGATCTCAGCCTCCTAAGTAGCTAGGATACAGGTGTGAGCCACTGGCACTCGGTTCACTTCTGGCATTTGGTGGTTCATTGGAGATGAGAGTCTCATGCACTTTCCTGCCCAGGCTGGCTTTGAACTACGTCCTCAGCCCTCAGCCTCCCGTGTAGCTAGGATGACAGAGGTGAGCCATGGCACCCAGCATCTTTCAAGTCCTTTAAAACACGCTGTGCCCTGCCACTCACACACCTTCAGGACCTCCTATCCAGGACACCCTCACTGCGCCTGCTCAGCCCCCTGCACATTCCTGCCTCCCATCGTGGGGAGGCTGTCACCTCTCCAACACTCAGAAGCCTGTTCCTCCTCTTCCCTGAGCTCCTGGCACAGGACTGACCAGGCCTAGGAGGGAAGCCCTCAGTGGTTGACCAGGGAGGGAGGGAGTGAGTGAATGAATGGACAAGCCGCTCTCTGCTCCTGAGACTTGCCTGACTAGCACAGGAGCCGTGGCCAGTACTAGGCAGTGGGGTGGGTGTCTGCTTCCCACGCGAGCCGTGGAAGCCAGCGAACCCTGTGCGGGTTCCTCCCAGCCCGCTGCCGCCCTGCTGCTTTCTCTCCGGGTGGGGCTGCCGACATCCTCCGTGCCGGCCCCCAGGCCTGTGGCCCTGGGAAGGAACAAGCAGTGGTCTGTTCTATACACAGGAAACTACAACCTCTCAAGTGTGCTGCCCAGTGCCCCCGACATGGCGCAGTTCAAGCAGGGCGTGCGGTCTGTTGCCGGAAAGCTGTCTGTGTTCGCTAATGGAGTCATGACGTCCATTCAGGTCAGTGACCGCTCGGTGCTGCTGCCTGGCACCCTGTGTTTGCTGCACAGTGAGTCTGGTGACGCACACGTGTCTCGCTGTGTAGCCTAGTCTGGCCTCGAACTCGAGATCCTCCTGCTTCAGCCCCTGAGTGCTAGGCTGTGGTCCGGGATTGCAGGTGTGTACCACCACACCTGGCATAGGCTTAAAAGGTTCAACTCTAGGAGATTTGGTACTGGAATCATAATCATAATTACCTAATCCCCACCCCATTGAAAGAGAAAATTATTTTAAAATATTACAATTTTCTATCATGTCTATCTGCCTAGTTTTATAGCCTACTTTTCTCTCTTACTCTATCAGCATGTCTACGTAATACAAATCTCTCCAAGTCAGACATGGTGGCTCACACCTGTAATCCTAACTACTCAAGAGGCAGACATCAGGAGGATTATAGTTGGAAGCCAACCAAGACAAAAACTTTTCCACACCCCATCTCAACAGATAAACTGGGCCTGGTGGTACATAGCTGCCTCTCCAGTTAATGCAGAAGGCAGAAATAGGATCACGGTCTAGGAACCTGAGGGAAGTTAGAGGCTCAGCTCAGAGGCTTTGCCAGTGGGGGCGTGGAGAACGTCACTCTGTCATTTCGTGACTGCCCAAGGATGGGGACTTACCTCGAGCAGTCAGACACCGGCCTAGCAAGCCCAAGGCCCTGAGTTCAAACCCCAGCGCCACCTACAAGGACTATAACAGAACTGCTCGGCTGGGCATAGCGTGTGTATCTTTTCAGTGAAGTAGATGGGACCCACTTGTATTTAACAAATGAGGCCCTGTCAGATCATGTGGAAGGCGGGTTCTGGAACCTTTGTTTTAACCTCAAATTATTTTAGAAGGATTCTGTATACGAATGTGTGGCGTATGGCTCTGGGCATGCGTCTCATGACTCGGATGGCTCCCGCAGCCCCTGGCCCAGGCAACGGTGGGCAAGCAGGGAGCGGGGAGAAGGCCTCCCCACCCCAAGCTGGGGCCACTCCCTCCCCTGCCTCAAGAGGTCTGGCTGCAGCAGTGTCCCATTCGTAGCGCCCCCGCTGCCCAGCCACAGACGCCCACCGCCCTCGTTTACCAGCCACCCCTTCCCATGTCCCCAGTGGGGATTTGGAGGCACAGAGGTTCCAGACACACTCCTCCACCTCCCACCTCACCTGCTCCCCCCAGCCCTGGGCAGGGGCCTCATCTTCCCCATCCTCCCCAGCCCCTCCCAGCTCCTCCGCAGCCCCTCCCAGCCCTCACCTGGGCCAGAACCACGCCAGGCCTTGGGTGTAGGACCTGTGCCCTGCCCCAGCCAAGGACCCCCGGGAAGTGCTGGCGATGGGGCAGGGGCACCGTGTGTGTGTGTGTGTGTGTGTGTGTGTGTGTGTGTGTGTGTGTGTGTGTGTGTGCGCGCGTGCACGCGTGCGTGCCTGCAAGCGCGCATGTGTACACGCACACAGTGACCCAGCTCTGCTTCTCTGCACAGGACCGCTATGGCTCCTGATCCTGGATCGACACTGTCCACCCTGGAGAAACTCGCGCGCCCGTTTGCTTCTCACGGCCTGCTGCGCCCTGGCAGCAACTCCAGAGCCCAGGCCTGCTGCCTCTCCTCATGGTACATGCCCCCTTTTGACTTTTACTGTTTCCTTGGAGAAACCCCTATTTTGGATGTAGCCGTTCTCTCGCCCGTCTGTCTGTCCGTCCATCCATGCTTGTTCCGCTGGCATGTGCGCACCCACCTCTGCCTCATTTTCCTAGAATCTTCAGACCCAGCTCCCCTCTTACCCCTGCACGGGGGGAGGGCTCCCCATGGACCGTTGGCCCCGAGTCACCTGAGACCAGGCTAGCCCCGGGCAGTGCACCCCACACAGGCCACCGCCATCCCGGGTTCCAGGCGCACACAGAAAGCTGCCCGGCCGGCGGGCCGCACTGCCATTTCCACCAGCTGGGCATTGCCAGCCTTTGTAATGGACTCTACCGACCCAAGACCACTTTGCAGCCAAGCACATCTGCCAAGCCAGCTCCCGCTGCCCGGGGCGTTGCTCTTAACAAGCCCGTGCTGTTGGCTAGACGGGCGCTCGTGAGGGGCTGAAGTCGATCGGTTACTGGGTGAACAGACCAAGGCTCCGGCCTGCCAATGCAGACGCTACCTGCAGCGCGGGTCACACTTTCCCGCTCGATCGTGCTGTTCAGAAAGTTCCAGATGGGTGCAAATCAGCAAAGAAAACATCATCTGGCTGTGTTTTAGACAGCATTAGAATAGATGGCTCGGCACAGTGAAATACATTTGAAGTTTGATGAACCGAAAAACCTGATTTCAAAAGAATATTTTGTGAATCTTTTCTTACAAGCTGAAATTCGTAGACTTGTCAGTACAATAAACAGCCACAGCAGATTGCGTTGCCTGCGGGTCTTTTCTGAAGGCCCAAGGTGCCATGGTGACAGGTGTGGGGGGGGCCTGCTGGGACAGCACAGGTGTCCTCCCTCTGGGAGGGAGGGCTGCTGTGTGTGTGTGTGTGTGTGTGCGCGCGCGCGCACGTGTGTGTGCTGGGTGTGTGTGTGTGTGTGTGTGTGTGTGTGTGTGTGTGTGTGTGTGTGCTGGGTGTGCTGGGTGTGGTGTGTGGTAGGCACTCACTCCCGGAGGCTAGGACCAGAGGAACGAGACACTGAGGCCGGTCTGGGAGATGTGGTGAGACCCGTGTCATGAACAGAACCCAAGGCATTTGTTTTCTCTCAATCCTGGAGGCTGGGATTCCTGGGTCCACCTGTTGGGGTTCATTCTGGACAGGGCCTCCCTTAGCTGCCAGTCTGGCTTTACGCGCGCCCTGGGGCCTGGGGTCGCTGCCTCTCCCTCTTGTTATTGCTCTGTGCCCGGTTCAGGCTCAGCTCACTACCTTTCCCCAAGGTTGGACGCTCTGCCCTGCCCCCCAGCTACATGGAAACACCATGTGGGGCGGGGCCCATGGGGATGGGGGTTCCACCGCTCTCCCCTCCCACGAGCTGTCCCCACTGACGGGGAGAGAGGGGTCCCTGTCCGAATGACCTCCTCCACCCTGGGCTTGTGGCATGGGCCTCACCCACCAGGCCTCACTGGCTGCAGGCCAGGCGGGACCGTGCCTGGCTGGGCTGGGTTGGGCCAGGCCTTGGGGGACCGGGCTCTGCGGAGGGAGAGGGGAAGCATGGGGTACTGGACTGTGGGAGGGGGTGCGGGCTGTGGGGGGCTGTAGGGGGCGGGGTGGGCTGTGGGGGGCTGGGCTGTGGGGGGCCGTGGGGGTGGGGTGGGCTGTGGGGGTGGGGCCGTGGGGGTGGGGCGGGCTGTGGGGGCGGGCCCGTGGGGGTGGGGTGGGCTGTGGGGGCGGGGCTGTGGGGGTGGGGTGGGCTGTGGGGGGCTGTGGGGGGCGGGGCCGTGGGGGTGGGGTGGGGCTGTGGGGGCGGGGCCGTGGGGGTGGGGTGGGCTGTGGAGGACGGGGTGGGCTGTGGGGGGCTGTGGGGGGCGGGGCCGTGGGGGAGGGGTGGGCTGTGGGGGCGGGGTGGGCTGTGGGGGTGGGGTGGGCTGTGGAGGACGGGGTGGGCTGTGGGGGGCTGTGGGGGGCGGGGCCGTGGGGGTGGGGTGGGCTGCGGGCACCCAGCCACTGCGCAGCCACAGACCTCAGCTCACGCGGCTGAGGAAGAATTCATTTCTCTTCTTGGCCTGCTCCTCCTTGGGCGTTGTTGTCCATTTCGTGATGTCCGCGTTTCATAGGTTAGGACGGTATTAATGATCAACGGAACACACGTGGGATTTATGAACTGACAGAGTGAGTGTGGGTCGCGCTTGCTGCTGGTCTGGCCAGCGGGAAGCGGGAAGCGCTGGGTCCAACCCACCAGCCGGGAGGGGGGAGAGCGGGAAAGGAGAGGGGAGAGGGAGGGAGGGGGACGGAGGGGGAGGGCCGAGGCTGCAGGTCACCCCACACTGCAGCCGCAGGACAGTGACGGGAGACGCCACTTGGGGGGTGGCGTCACAGACCCCTCAGTGCCGGTTCTAGGCCGCCATCCACATCCGCACCTCGCCCACCCTGGCTCATGAGCCCCACCCACCCCTGACCGCCATCAAAGCCTCTGGCCAGAGCGGACAGATGATAAGCCCACCGCTCCGATGCTGGTGGCCGGTGGGCGCCCGCTCATCCTGCCCACCCCGCCCCGGGCCGCTGTGCCTGGTGAACCCCTCCACCCGCCGCCGCTGTGCCTGGTGAACCCCTCCACCCGACCCCGAACCACCCACCCCCTCCACCCGACCCGAACCACCCACCCCCTCCACCCGACCCCGAACCACCCGCCCCCTCCACCCGACCCGAACCACCCACCCCCTCCACCCGACCCGAACCACCCACCCCCTCCACCCGACCCCGAACCACCCGCCCCGGCCAGCGCACCGGCCTGTGAGCGCTGCACTCGGGGATCCGTGCCCAGAAGAGGAGCTCCTGTCCCTGCCCCCTGCATGTGATCTATCGCCCTGTCCCCAGGCCTTTCCCCTCCTTCCCCCCCCAAAAAAAGGCATTCAGTGGCTTTGACAGCAGGTGTGGCACAGATGGTGCAGCAGACAGACAGACGGACAGACAGACAGGTCCTCCCTGGCATGTGGCAGTCCCACGGAACCGCCAGGACCTGTGGGAACTCGGGCGGACAGGACTTCCAACCTAGCAAGGCCCTGCCTGGGCCCTGGAGGCTGCAGCTGAATTCTGGTCTTTGGAGTCCCCTCCCTGCCCCTGCCCCCCAAGTCCCCGATTCCTCTCGCCCCCACATCTCCCGCCACAGGTCAGCCGGGTGCCCGTCCCCCCTGCAGGGCAGGCAGGGCCCCTGGGTGCCCGCACCGGGGCCTGGGTGAGACAGCCCGGTGTGTCCTGGCCCTTCCAGCCGGCCCTGCCCGTCCCGCCCTGCCTGGTTCTCCCCGCCACCTCAGCCCAAGGCACGAATCTGCAGCCCTGGGATCAGGCCGGGGAGATGGGGTGGTCGCTGCGCCCTGGTTACTTGGGGGAGGCTTCGCTGCTGTCAGAGGGAACACAAAGAAGCCAAGAACAAGGCCAACCTGGGAGGACCAGCCGCGGGAGGCGGGGGCAGGGAGGGCTGGCGTGGCCAGGATGCTGGCTGGAGCCGGAGCTCGAGCTGGAGGAGGGGCTGCGATGGGCTGGAGACACAGCCCAGGAGTTGAGCCAGTAAACCCTTCAAGGCCGAGAGGCAGAGGCCAGGCCGGTGCCTGCGCCTCACTCCTGTTCTCTTGGCTATTCCAGAGGCGGAGATCTGAGGATCACAGTTCAAAGCCAGCCTGGGAAGAAGCACAGATGGGGTGGGGAAAACATAGGGGCCGTTTGTAAGTTAGAGGTCAGATGACGAGCCGCAGAGGGAGAAAGGAAGCCCCAGTGCACCCCAGAAAATAGAGCTGTGACCGTAAGAGAGGCCGGCAGGCATGGTTCTGTATCAGCTAAGATTTGTGTTCAGTTGCTAACAGAAGGGAGAGTGGGCCCCACAGTGTCACCAAAACCTGGTCCTTCCCTCCATCCATTTCTCTGCCAACTTGGTGGCATGCCCTTCGTCTTCATGGTCCCCAAGTGGCTGCCTTAGCTCCAGCCATTCACTTTGTAATCCCACACTAAAGAGGACACGTTTCGCTTACATCTTACAGGTCAGAAGCCGCAGGACCTCCAAGCCCCTCTTCCCTCCCTCCCCAGGTGTGGGGCTGGCCTGTACTAGCTCTGATCAGAAGCCATTGTTCTAGAACGCTTCGGGGAACCTGGTCCCGCCCACAGTCTGGGAATGCTGTGAGTGGTGTGCGGCAGCCGGGCAGCCACGTCTGAAATCAGATGCCAGTGGCTTCAAAGGCCCTGCCCGGAGCCCTGATCTGCGGGAGTCTCATGACCCTGCCCTTCTGGCCTGGAGCAGTTCCCCAGGAGAAACTGAGCTGGGAGGAAGGCCAGGGTAGCACCCCACCCCCCCCCCAGCTGCAGGCCCCTCGAGAAGCGCGTGGGTACCAGGACTGGGGACCCTGGGGACCAGATTGGCCATGTCAGGGGGGCAGGTGCCAGGCCCTCCCGGTCAGGGAGGAGACCAGGCAGCAGGTGGCTGGCTGTGGCCTGAGCCCCGCCCGCCACCCCGAGCCCCTCCCCATCCCACGGACAATGAGGGGGCTGGCGGTGACCGCGCCTGGCCCTGGCCTGACCCCTCAGCCTCGGTGGCAGGGATGCTACCACCTGCTTGGGACAGCTGGGCCGGCTCGGAGCCGCAGCGGACAGCGAGACCCCGGGCCGCCCTGCGCCGCGGGGGCGTCGGCCAGCGGCCAGCACAGGGCAGCGCTTGCCTGCGGGGCCGGCCATGCCCACTTCCCTCCAGAGTCACTGCCATGTTTTGCTTGTGGGCAAACATTTAATCTTGGCTGAAATCAATGGGGCCTCTCCACCTAGCCAAAGCAAAGCTTCCCGCCGCTTCCTGCTGCCTGGCCGAGGGGACAGACCCCACCTCACCCCCAGGCCGCAGGGCCCTGCTGGGGGGGGGCACTGTGGCCTCCAGGTGGGGCGCCTCCCAGATGAGGCCAGCCTCGTTATGAAAAAACAAAAGTGACACTTTGACTGTAAAATCCGGTATGAAAGGGAATCGGAAGAGTAAAGAAGTCAAGCTGCAAGGGAGGAGCGGCGCACGCCTGTAATCCCGGCATCGGAGGTTAGCTGGGCTGAGAGGTGGGAAGACACCCTGTCTCAAAGAATAAATGAAAATGTCCAAGGGCTGGAGGCAAGGCTCGAACGGAAGAATACTTGCCTGGCAAGAATCGTAAACTCAGGCCTGGACACTGTCCCCTAGCTTTTTCTCTCAAGGCTGGTGCTCTACCACTTGAGCCACAGCTCCACATTGAGCTTTTTGCTAGTTAAGAGACTCTCAGGCTTTTCTGCCCTGGCTGGCTTTGAACTCCAATCCTCAGCTCTCGGCTTCTTGAGTAGCTAGGATGACAGGCGTGAGCCCCACACTTTGATCACAGTTTTCAGAGGAGACAGACACGCCTCATTCAGAGTGCTTTGCTCACTCCACGTCTGTGTGTCCATTCACACCCCAGCTCACAACTCAAGGCAGCCCACAAGGATGGCGGAGGCCACGCAGGGGAGCGGCCCGGCTGCAGAGGGCCAAAGCTGAGCGCCCTGCAACCTGCCCGCTTCCCAGCGCCTTTGACCCTTCCTGCTGGCAGGGGGGGGGGGGCAGCGGCGGGCAGTAGGCTGTCAGGATGCTTTGGCTTTGGTTTGGCAGTGCTGGGCAAATCCTGTCCCACCAAGCCTCACTCCAGCCCTGGGTCTCCTGAGGAGGGCAGGAGGCAGCTGAGACTACAGGGTGGAGCCTCCGGAGCCAACCCCCCCTCCCCCCCCCCCCCGTTCTGTTG